CAAGTTGTCATGTTACACTGCGTCTAGGCCTTGTCTCCCCCTCCCTTATGTGACACGGGACTCTCGGGAAGTAAGAAACTAACAATCTCGGTACTGGACGTCACGAGAAAGCCGCTTCATTTTCTTCTGGCGTCACCCGGAGAGGTGAGTCGAGACCTCTTTCATCCTGTCCAAGGTAACGCCGCGCCCGCGCCGCTCCCCCAAAAATAGGAGACCGCTGTGCTTTGTGCGCGCTCGAGGGCGGTTTGTTTAGGGCCTGTTTATCGCGGACGGCCCCAGGAGATATCGCGTCGAGATCGCCTCTCCGACTGCGCGGCGGCGATTCCGGCGCGGCGCAGCAGAGACGAATGGCGCGGCTCTCGCTGGTCACAGAGACAATGCCGTCAAAACAACGTCACTTTATGTGACGCTGGCCGACGGCGCACGGCTCACAAAGACTGTGGTGTGCGCGGGAAGCCACATGTCAGGCTGCCGGCTGCCGGCCATACATTATTCAGGCCCGGTTGACGGTGCAGGAGCCAATGCAGCATGGTCGGACTGTATAGGGCGTCGGTACTCGCTGTGTTATATGGGGGTGTTTAACGGATGCTAAGCGACGTGATCCGTCATCTGAGGCCCGGGAGACACAGCTGCATCAAACGGGTCGACAATGGCCGGGAGTGTTGTCCTTCAGCGACAGCAACGTATGCTGAAGTTCTTCATGCTATCAATGAACTACAGCTGAATCACGGCATGACGTTATAAGCGCGGAGATTTCCGATAACGTTTTTGAACACTCATAGGTAGATACGTTACGCCGAGAAATCACTCTGGCTGTTCCATTTTTATGCTGATTTGTCGATTAATTTCGCGTGAATAATTAATTTTTCCGATATAATTGCAATACAAAGATCCTAAAAATGGCTATTAGAACAAAATTTGACGTAAAAAGACGATAAAAATCATGCATCTACTATGTCATATAAATAATGCGATAAAAGGTTCCTGAGCCACTCATTGATAGAAAAATAAATAGTTTATGGTCAGTGGTTATCTAGTCATGAATAGTTTAATTTACGTTTTAACTACACTTTCAATATATTATTATAAAATGGATAAAAGGGCGCTTTACGAAAAACTTTACAGCCTCCTCGTCTGTTTATTTACGCTCCAACATATCCCCTCCCAGCCCGTCCTATCTCGTCCATTCGTTCTGCTCCGTCCCGTTCCTGTCCCGTGCCGTCCCGTGCCGTCCCGTGCCGTCCCGTGCCGTCCCGTGCCGTCCCGTGCCGTCCCGTTCCTGTCCCGTGCCGTCCCGTGCCGTCGTCGCTAGAAAGGAGCCGGTCCGGCTCTAGTTGTCCCGGGGACGTTTTTATTCTCCTACACCGCCGGCCGTGGGTTTACAGGCGGCCATTAACTTTAGGGCCTTGGAAATGCGTGCGTCCTGACCCAGCCAGGCCCGGGCAGGACAAAAAGATGCCGTAAAAGTTGAGAATCCGTGTGCCGCTGTTTTAGCCTGGGGAAGCTTCCGGGAGTCGGCGGTGGCGGAGCCGTCAAACGCCTGTCACGTGTCGGCCAACAGAGTGGCCAGCCTAGAGCCGCCGCCCCAGCTTTACGACCCGCGGCCCATGGGCCAGCCGGGAAACGAACAGCGGCGTGTTTTCTCTATCTGGGCCATAAAACCGTAATGAGAGTGAGCCGCTTTCGAAATTGATTTCTTTAAAACGATGGCCGGCTCTCCCTGAATTGTTACATTGGTAGCGGGACGAATAGAGGCGAGGGCAAATCGCCAGGTAGCCGCTGGAGCGTATCAAAAAAAAAAATCTAAAATAGCGGACCTACCCATGGATATGAGACATTTTAGAGTGACTTAGTCACTTGCATATAGTAACCGTATAGTATAGTCACTTGTATATAGTAAACGAGCGTACAACATCTGCAACTCCACACACCTGGCACCCTGTACGGCACAGCAATCGAGCTGAATGTAGCTGGAACGCTTAACAAGCGCTCCATTTTCAACTGGTCTGTTTTCCTCCACCTCTGACAACTGTGATCCAAATTAAACACCCCCGTCAGTTCACCACGTAACCCGATACACGTCTCAGGGGAGAGCAAACACACGCTGTCCCAGTGACGGTAATTCCAAAGCAAACTGGAGCGGCTTTGTTTTTGTCGATAATCGCGTCTGCTCTGGCTGGCGGCCGGTAAATGTTTGCTCTGGGATGATTGGGCAGAGAAGGCCAGTTGACAGTCACCTCTGACCTGTGGTAGGTATCGCAGCTGCCTGTTTGTTGGAACGATGAGGGGAGCGTCTCATAAAAACGACAGGACCAGGGGAAAGGGGGGGGGGGCTGTTGGGCATTAGCGAGTGTTCGGAAGTTTAAAAATCGATGACGAGCTTATTTGTTGCTTATTTTGCAATATCCCCATGAGTCCGTAATGCTTATGCTTCGTATTGTCTGCAGTTCATGCATATGTACCGCGGGTGCATTTTATTTATTTGCCATCCACCATTGCGTTAAAAAAACGTAGCATCCAATTATATTCTACATGCATCCTGCTCGACGATACGGCTTTCCATGTCTCTTTAGAATAGATCCCCTATGCATAATGTTGCAAATTGCAAACCCTTTTCCCCATAGCCTCCTTTTAGCGTTTTATTGCCATCAGCACACGGCTCTGTGGCTTTGACGCCTGACGTCGGCATCTCGTCTTCCGGACTAATGCACATCGAAACGTCTGACTCCTGCTCAGAGTATTTCCGCCTGCGCGACTATACCGGAATGTCCCGCGTAGAATTGTGGGAGGGCTGTTGGTCAAATGGAAGCGGGCGAATGCTGCAATGTTTATTGTACCACTTACAGCCCGCGTTTCCTCGTACTGCGCAGCCGTGCGCGTGCTATAGGATTTTTACAGCCCGCGTCGATCCGAGAATGAGAGTGACGTCACATTTGCGGTGGTGTTTCGCGGTGTGTTCTGTGGAGTGACCCCTCCCTTTGAAGCCGCAGAGGACTGTAAAGGGTGACAGCTGATGCCGAGGGGTCGGAGCTGATGGCTTCATAAGCTTTGCACAGGGAATAGCTATTCAGAGAACGTAAGTCGTCAAATGTTTGCTGGCGTTCCAGTGTTGAGTTCATTTGAACGGACACGTGTTAAATGTAGATTCCATCATGTGCTGTTAAAAGTTATGGAATGCCTAGCTTATGCATCACTTTTCCGGTTCCTACATAGGCATATGAGTACGAACAACAGTTGGCAATTTCATCATGACATATCTACACTTTCTACTGTTTCAGCTAATCTTGGCTTACAACACCATGTCATTCACGATCGTGACATTGCCGATTGCAGTTCGCAAAATTATTTATTTTACCAATTGGCCTAAGTTCACTCATACGGAAAAAAATTATGCATATAACCATATTGACCTCACCAAGGTCACCATTTTTTCTGATATATTGGACTGTCGATTTAAATTGACACCAGTGAACAAGACTCGGTTGTAAATACATGACGTAAGGTCGGTTGATAGAGCCATGTTTATGACAAATTCTGCTTAGCGCGGCACCTGGGCCCAAGGCCCAAATTCAACCGTTTAGGCTAAATTGGCAAGAATATGACCTCGCAGGATAGCTATGTTTTATTCATGTGAAGTGCAGCATTCATTTCATACATAAATTCGCGTTCCGGCATCGTTTTAGTTGAATTATGTTAAAACGTATATTTGGGACAAGAAAAATATGTAGCTCCAGAGCCATATAAATATATGACATAAAACCGGTTACAACTTGATGTCGTGTTCGGTGTTACAAGTACTTGCCTCTTACTTGCCTCCCAGACAGGCTGCTTGATAGCTTTTTTATGAATGATCGCAGTCTCCATTGAACCTTAATTTGAACGCCTGAACGGTGTTGCACTAATAAGTTACACGCTATTTTGAGGTGTCCGCGTCGCAAAAAAATGAAATAAATATTATGCTTTCCACAAACTGCTGACTACTTACTAAACGCAGAGCACTATTGTTAGTACATCGAAGCTAACGTGCAATGATGTTTTAACCCTCGCCCGCACATGCCATTTTCCCATCCTAGAACGCACATGGGGGGGGGGGGGGTTGCCACCCTCCCCCGCGCCATTTCGTTCCTGTTGGAGATAGAGCTTAGCGGTAAAGACCAAAAAGATTCTTTGGGAAGAGACAAATCTAATGATACCCAGTTTTACCTTCTCAGGTCAGTCATTGACCTTCCAGGTCAGGTCAAACTAAAAAATGTTGCTGTTTTGGGTCACCGATGGATATCAAGTGCGCTGCTTATCATATACCGATGACGATGCCGTTTTCTGGTGCCAAGCCAGCTAGAACCTCTTTGTCAATCTACCCGACCAAGTTTTTGCTGCTGAGGTCATTTCAGGTCAAGTTAGGTCAAGGTCAATTATATGTGTTTGTATGTCTGTGTGTGTCTGTGTGTATACTGATGTGTGCACCGATTGTTTATGTGTCCATATTACATGAAATCATGATCTGAGAAGCTTTTATCAAAAATGTAGTCAAAAAACTTCACAAAAAGTAAATTCCGCTTGCCTAAAACGCAATTATCTTAGATGACCTAGGTTGACCTCGACCCTGACCTTGACATCTGAACATCGTCGAACAACGTGTTCCATGATAGGTGGGAGGTAAGACTGGCAAAAAAGGCCGAAATCAAGGTGTCAAAAGCTCACAAGGCCCATAGCCAACGCAAGATGTTGAGAATTGGCCATTTGGGTCATGACATGACCTGAAAAACAAGGTCATATCTCCGGAACCAAAAACCACAGAAACTTGAAATTTTCAGTGGACATCAAGAAAGGATACAGGAGCAGCTATACGAAAAATCAGCCTTCTAGCTCTAAAAATGTTGAGTGCAGAGCAGAAAGACTACCTGGGGAGAGTGGCAACCACCCCCCCCCCCCCCATGTGCGGGCGAGGGTTAATGCGGCGTGGCAGTTTCCGTGTATATTTGAATCAGTGCATTCTTGTGATGGCAGTTTTATTATAAGGTAATATATGACTGCTACACTCAATTGTGTTAGACACGTAGCTGCTCATAAAATCAAAACTACAGTAAAACTTTCATCGGATTTCTTACGAACCCCGCATATATATTATACAAAGCAGGTACTTACATGCATGTCGTCAAAACACAAAACATAAACTGAAACACTACGTTTGAGGTAAGTCAAGCATCAAAATCCAGCAGAAAGAAGGCTGAATTCCTATCCAGGCGAAGAAAGTCGGATGTCATTCTATTCGAAACAAAAAAAAAAACTGACATCCTGCATAGGGTTGGAATAATACGAAATGGTAAGTCAACGAACAAGATAAGTAACTATGTCGAGAAGAAGCATCACGGACATTAGACACTGAACACAAGCAGTTTATATTTACATATCACAGATGATCGTCACAATTGACTTATGTTACTTTGTGCAGAGGTCTGCCACAGCAGATTCAGTGCACACATGGCATTGGCACACATTCGATCAAGATTAGAAACACAACACACGTAAAACGGAACACACAAGCGAAATGATTCGATCCCGCGCTACATCATCTACCAGCAATCATGGCCACGAAAATACGGACATAGCACCGTGTCGAGTGACACAGCGTCACACTCAAACACACCCCACTCTTCACTGGCAGCTGAGAGGTGAGAGCTGAGAGCTGCGACCGACCTCCCCGCACCCTCAGCTGCCGGGCACCTCGCGATGTACCGGCGCCGGCGGGCTCCACGACTCAACCAGCACGCTCCGCAAGGGCGACGGCACCCTCTTCTGACGACCGGCTGAGCGCAGTATGAACACCGGACGGACCGGGACGGTCCCCTCCCCCTGCAGATGACCCCAGCGGCACCGGCGCGCCGCCAGGACCACCGCCACGGCCACCGCGCCGAGCAGGAGAGCAGCGAGCAGCGCCAGGGCTGCCTGGTGGACCAGCGGCAGCGCCCTCTGCTCAGTCGGCACCGCCGAGCGGTACGTGCTGATCACCAGAGGCACAGAACGCTCCGAGGTCACCGACAGCAGCTCCACCTGTTGGCCAGACGAGCACTCAGGTCAGCGAGCACCGGGGTCCGCACAGCAGCGCCACTGGCGGCCGGGAGCGGAACTATTCGGCTCTGGTTGAGTGGCTGCCAAACACAGCCCTTTCCTAGGCTGCCCGTCAATATTTACCGTCTATTTATGAGCCAAATTTGATACAGGCCTGCACCAGATGACCATTCCTAGCACTAAGTGCCATCGTTAAGTGTCCGCCCGGCTCCGAACTGACGTAAATCATGACGCCGAACTACACTGCCGGCAAATTTATCGGCCATGTTGCGTCATCTTCGCGGCCGAGTATAATAACGTCAATTACGATGAGTTAGAACGATGTCCGATCGGGCGGGCACCTCAGTGCCGCGTATCCGATGTGAATACATCGCAGACCAGGGCGGCGGCTCCAGGCGGCGGCTGGAGCACGAGAGACCCGCGCTGGTTCTGCGCTGTCGACATGATGTGAGTCTACAGTTACACCGTTCCGATGTAGACAGAGGTCAGAGAGAGAGAAGAGAGAGAGAGAGAGAGAGAGAGAGAGAAAGAGAGAGAGGGGGAGAGAGAGAGAGGGAGAGAGGGAGAGAGGGAGAGAGGGAGAGAGGGAGAGAGGGAGAGAGGGAGAGAGAGAGAGGGAGAGAGGGAGAGAGGGAGAGAGAGGGAGAGAAAGAGAGAGGGAGAGAGGGAGAGAGGGGGAGAGGGAGAGGGAGAGGGAGAGAGGGAGAGAGAGAGAGGGAGAGAGAGAGAGAGGGGAGAGAGAGAGAGAGTCGCGGAGCAGTGAAGGACTGAGAGAGGGATGGTTGGAGAGAGGAGGAATACATAAAGGGATGATGAGGTAGCTTGAGTGTGACAGACAAAAATACAGATGGATAAGAAAAAGAGGGAGCCGAGACGAAAGAGCGAAATGAAAGGGAGAAGACGGCGGCAGATATGGAATTCCATATCAGCTAAGCATTAACTGCAGGTTACTAGACAGACCTGACCCTTTTCCACGACACTGCACTATAGTATGCTATCCACTATTACGTCGCGAGACCATAGATCAGCTCACAGCTGCGACCTCCGGCTAATTTATGGTCACCTGCGAGTCTTGCACGCCTGCAGCGACTGTGTCTAAAACGTACCGACCAGATAACACCCCGATAGTGCCTCCCCTTCCAGCTGACTCAACCTTGACCTCACGATGAAAGCGACAGCAATATAGAGCATGCTTGTCAGGCTATATTTAAGCTGTCAAGCATGTCCAGTTGGGCAACTAAACGATGCATAATTGCAAATAGCTCACGGGCCCGAATCATGTTTAGCACGTCACTCTGGCTCATTCACTACTGGATAAGGGATGTTCGGCGCATTATCAGATGTTAACTGAACCGAAGCGTCATACCCCTACATTAGAGAGTAAACAGACAAGTTATGGATCTAATCTTGATCTACTGGAGAACATCAGCGTATGTTCTTCTATGTCGATAAACAGATTGAGAACTAAAGCGATCCCATTCGCATATAAATACACCTTCAACACACTATCCCCAATCTCTGCATCGATAAACCAGCTACGTGACGGTACTACTGCCTTACTTGTGTAAATAGGGGAGAGTGGGGTAATTTGGCCGTTTTTTTTTTTTTAGAAAACGATGTAACTAAAAATCGACAACACATTTCTGCATTTTCTCAACGCTGACAGGTGTGGCATACATTTTACTTTCTTGGACAGTAAACTTGAAATGATAGATTAACTACTTATATTGAAACTGTGACGTATTACAAAGGTCTGCAAAGCGGCCAAATTGCCCCACTAGCAGGGTTATTTGGCCGGGGGTGTGGGGCAATTTGGCCGGTGTTAGTTTGAGGCCCTGATTTTTGTTATAGGCGAGTCAGCTTCACATTCAGCAATGACGTGTGTCCTACGACGCATTTGAAGCATTTTGGAGGTTGACTCAGCCGTCACAGGGGTCGAAAATAGTCAAAATAGCGGCTTTAGATGCGATGACAGTTTTTTACGAATAGCTTTTGAAGTAATCAAGCTAGGCCAAAACTAAAAGTACCATCGTAATTCTCTCGTCATTCCGCATCGACACATGTATGTGTTGACCTCGAGAGGTCAAGGTCAAAGGTTGGCTTCAGGTCACGCTACCTCAGGTCGCTTGACCTCAAGGTTACGTGAGTCCAAGGTCATCATGTATATCATTCGATGCGCCTTGACGAGCTGAACACAATGAGACCATTTGCGCGGCTGTATCTTTTTTTTCTGTAAGTATTTATTAGCAAAAAAGCGTTAGGTAACCTTTGATGACGTCACATGCCCTTACAGCTGTCCAATAGGAAATATGGCATCAAGGTAGTCAAAGTTGGTCATGAATTATGTCCTTTATGGTATAATTGACCATGACAACTCGGCCGTCCCAGCATAGTGACTCTGAGCGCACCGGCCAAGTTGCCCCGCTAGTCCCGGCCAAATAACCCCACATTGCCATTCTGAAAATTTTTGTCTTTAAAGTCGTCATGGCTGTACAAAACTAGATGAAATTGCTCTTGGAACCGCTGAGCACCCTCAAAAATGGAGCTATAATGTTGGAATCCGTTAACCTTCGCCCCAGAGGGGGGGGGGGCATATGTTACCACCCTGTCGCGTTTTTTGCATATAAATAAAAAACCGCGACGCGTAGCGCCGCGCCGCTTGGCATAGCTTTTTGTACATCAATTTTGGACAATGTGTTAAATTTTTGACCCCAGGTTATGTCAGGTCAGGTCACCAGGTGAAGTTAACTGACCAGGCCTAAAAAAAAAGTTTGCAATCATGTCCAGCCTGCAGTGTTTGTCAGTAAGGTTTTAAACTTGGTGGATTGCATGATGTTATGGGCGCCTACAATTTGTATATCTCGGATTTTTTATATCCGTGACCTAAGGTCAGGTCAGTGGCGTGACCTTACCATTATAAGTCAATGGAGAAAAATGAAAATGCCTCTAGATCCGTGTGTACGCATAGGAACAGTCCAAATATTTCAGAATCACAATGATTTGAACCATCCGTGATGACCAAGGTGTCATTTTTACTGATAGCCTCTAGAAAGGTCATCCGAGGTCATTTGAGGCTACAAACAGATTTTTGCCAATAACTCGCGATTGGAAAGAGATAGAACGCTGGGGATGGCTTCATTGTGTTTGTCTTGTTGAGACGCATCGAATGATATGCAACATGACCTTTTCCGGTCAGGTCATGACCTTGACCTGAGGTCAAATTTTCAAGTTGACCTTTCAAGGTCAAATTATAGTTCATTCGACGCGTCTCGTCGAGAGGAACACGATTCTGGCAATAGAAATGTCGTGGCTTTTTCTAGTCAAAAGTTATTGTCGAAAAACACTTTGCGAAAAAAACAGCTATTTTTGGAGTTTTTGCCCTTTGCAGGCTAAACCGTTGACCTGAGGTCAATTTTGATAATGACCTTATCGAAAGAAGAGCTCAAAAGCTATGGATTGCTTTTCCATGCGTTTTTCTAGCTATCATAGTTCCTGAGATAAAAGCATGTTTTCTGAAAATATATTGACATTTGGCAAATTTTGACCTTTGATGACCTCCAGTGACCCCAATATTGCTCCAAGATGAAAAATGACTGAAATACTTTCAAATGTACGCATTAAGAGCTATCGACTGCTTTTTACCGCGTCTTTCTAGTCCTCTTAGTTTTTGAGTTAGAGGTGGGTGATAACATATGCCCCCCCCCCCCCCACTAGGGCGAAGTTGGCTGAGACCGCCACTGGGGCGCGGGTTAACAGCCCAAATACTGCATGTTATACAAATTTTTAAACGGAAGTAAAAGTTATCATTTTCTAACGAAATTCACCTTTTATTAGTTTTGAATAAAACTAAGAGGGGGAAAGTTTTAACATTTGTTCTCGAGTTAGTTCTGCCGATGACAAATGAATAGAGACTAAAGTTATTTCATTCACTTTTATCAGCTTTCGTACAGGTGGGGGCGGCCAATTTACACCACCGGCCAAATTACCCCACTCTCCCCTAAACTATCTGCAATCTACACCCACGTCCGACTTACGCTCTCGTTTACACAATTCTTTCATAAAGCATTCCCAGACACCTCCTCAGTCCTCACCTGTATGTTGTAGACCGACTCGGGCCACAGGCTGAGCGTCACCGAGTTGATATCGGTGTAGAGGTGACCCTTGATGCCCCCGCCGCTCAGCTCCCAGGTGACCAGGTACTGGGGTGGGGCGGCGCCGGCGGACCGCTGCCGCTGCCAGCCCACCTGGACCAGCACCATGGAGGACGAGTCGCGCTCCACAGAGACCGTCTCCAGCAGCCATACGCCGTCCGACGGGGGCTGAGGGAGGGAGGGGAGGGAGGGAAGGGGGTCAGAGGGGGCCAAGGGAGGCTGAGGGAAGAAGGCTGATTGAGAGGAAGAAGTCAGACACCGGTTCGAGGGGGGGCTGAGGGGAGCGGAGGGAGTCAGAGGGAGGCTGAGGGGGCTGGGAGGGGGCGGTTGCGTAACTCATAGGGCGGTACGGTATGGGGGATGGTTTACGCTTACGTCGAGAGGTAGTTCCTACTGTCCGCGGTGTCGATATCAGATCATTAGAAGAAGGCTCTGAAGTCAGAGTGCTGTATTTCTTTAGAGATTCAAAGTGCCGGACGCTTCTTGGCATTCGCTGCATGAAGCGTCCGCTATTGAACAAGCTATTGAACACAATGCCGACTTCAATGCACCATGACAAGACCTTGCCGGCGAAGCACAATGTCAAAGTCGCATCGGTCACCTAGCGCGGGCACCCGGGTCACAGTGGCAGAACAATCCAGGGACGCAGGCCGAGCAGCCTGACGAAGATGTACTCTAATCCCAACGGATGGGTATGTCCGGTAGGATGAGGCCCGATCGTCTAATCCGAGTCTTAGCGGGGAGTCGGCTCATTGTCTGCGGTGGACGGGTCGCCGTGAAGTGATCAGCGGAGACAGAACAGAGCTGATTCATCGGCAGTAAAGCGGCAGCTGCTGCCTGTCATCCGATATAATAGGGCGACTGACACCGACCGAGACTGGTCGTCAATATTATATAGCTGGGATATAAGGACGCAGCGCGTTCTGCAGTGAAGACGTTGCGACATGTTTCGAGCAAGGTGCCTGCAGGCGCTGCTCACTGATGAAGACATCGATACTTACATGTTGTTTCAGCGATTGTTTTGACTTTTGATAATTGACGACCAAGGTAGTTATATTCCGAAAATACAAAGTTGCAAGACTAAAAAATCAGTAAAGACTGAAAGCTTCGAAAGATACAACTATCGATTGCAAGCAGCAGCTACTCACTGTCATTTGGGTACTGGTATCGAGGAATTACCTGTGCGACTGCGAAATACCACTCGCTCGGCGCTGCCACCTACCTTCCTTTCGTGACTCTGTCGACCATCCGCCGCCGTCGCGTCATCGGACTGCAGTTCGGCGACAGCCAGCGGCCCGTCGCGACCGACGGCCAGCAAACGGAGCGGCGTGTCGAGACCGACGTTCACCAGAAGCACGCTCTCAGCGGGTGTCTGCCGAGAGAAGGACAGAGGGGCTACCGTGAGGCAGAGCAAGAGGGCAGTCTCCTCAAGTGCGGCTCATGGCTGCAACAAGGGCTCGGTAGCTGGGGGCAAAGTTGCGATGACGGTGACGTGAGGCCAATTCGAAGCAATATCAGGACCAGAAGCCCATTTTCGACATACACCCGGAGGGTCGATCATGTGATGCAATCCCGACAGGAAAAGTGCCTGGCCGCTCCGTTCGGGTTGTAAATCACCTCACCAATCGACTACCAATTAAGCCCGGGACATTTAATCTGCCGATAAACAGGCGCTAAATTGCCACCATCATCAGTCCCATCCAGCTGTGCTCATGGCCTGGCAGAACAATGACTCGGAGGCACTCGACCATCCCATTCACCCTTGCGGTGGCCGTCAGAGAGGGTCCGAGTGGCGCCTGGAGGCTGGTGACCTAACCGGGAGTCCGGCGAGCGCCGCTCACCTGTACGAGCTCCTGCCAGCCGTCTCTGGCGCCGGCCAGCAGGAGAAACACCACCCCGGAGCGCGGCCGGTCGCACTCGGACTCGGAGAGCGACCAGCGGGCCTCGGCGCCGTCACGGCTCAGCTCCAGATCAGGGCGGCACGCCGGCAGCGCCGGTGGCGCCGCCCGCGGCAGGGAGTGGAACTGGCAGGCCAGCCGACAGCCAGCATCATCCTGGAATTAGTGCACGCGGTTAGAGTTATAGATCTCCTGCAGAAATGTCAGTTGCAGAACCAAAGCATTGCGTTTACCGGTCGGCTTGTCGTATTAGTCTATACGCATTTTAGACCTGAGACCCTCATACTAAGACGCTATAGTTTTCAAATAAGACGTGCAGCTTATAGTGCCTGCTTCAGAGAAGACCGGCTCAAATCCATGTGCAAAGGACACTGATCTGCGCCCAGGCAGGCTGTCAGATCCTATGCGATAATCCGATCAGCTTCGCTGGAGTGAACTTCGCATGATGCATCTGTGGACTTATCTGTGCTTATACGAGTATACGGGCGCGCCCGCCCGCACCTGCGACCCATCGAGCGGCTCTAGGATGTTTCTGCACAGCGCGTGCATTACGCATTGTAAGTGCTCTTACTCGCTGCCATAGCCGGAAACGTAGTGTCTTTTAGCTCCACAACGCTCACTCATACTGCATTACTGGTCTTAGAAGAAGGATGAGCTGCTATTAGCTCCAATATTTTTTAATCGACGTATCAGTCTCCGTAGCTACATTTTATACGGTCGTAATTGATCGGAATGGCTCGGTACTAAGTGCTACGACTGGTATGCAGTGGTCGGCACTCGGTACTCGGTACTCGGTACTCTGTACTCTGTACTCGGTACTCACACAGTCCGGTAGCAGGTGGCAGGGAGTCCAGGTGTCCTCGCCATCCTCTGGGTTCAAAGATCCGCACTTCTCCCAGCACTGCGGGCAGATCGGGTGCGGTGGACGGTCAGTCAGGTAACACAGTACGAACAACGAGCCCCGCTGACCGAGACTGCAGCGCTGTTTATTGGCCAGATGACCATCTGCAGCCCACGAGCTGTTTAATTATCGTGATCGCCCCTCCGACTGCGCTATTAATTTCGAAATGGCCGGTTGGTTAAGGCTAAATGAGCTTCACCTTGGGGGCTCAATCTCCTAACTCACGCGCTGCTGTCTGCTCGGATAGTCGGTAATGTCATCATAGAAAAGTCGTACCCGGCCTATTCATTTGCATGTTGCATGAATAGAGCTCATCGTTTGCATCATTTGCACACTGTGCACCCTAGTTGTGAATCTAATTTTATCTTAATTCTCTTAGAGAGATAGCGGGAACCATCGGTCACAGTAATCAGACAGTCACGAGAAGTTGGACTGATTCAGAGTCCTGGGCATCCGAAGATCGTCGTCCCGTTGCCGGCCATACACACGCTCTGTCCTGGGAACTGATGGTATCACACAAAGGCGGCCGTCCGGGGTGCCGTCATGGCGTTTGTCGCCTTCACTCGGCGACGCTATCACGGACTGCACATGAGGACAAAGACCGTGTAGTCGTCAGATTACATAGTCATCACAGGGCCTTCTCCAGTCGTAATTTCTGGCCATGTCGTCGTACACAAACACCGACCATCCACAGTTATCAGAGTGACATAAATAATACACAAGACCCTCATTTTCCGGCGAACAGATAGTTGTCAGGTCCGGCAGTGAGCTCTAGCGCGGTCGTCGGCCGCCGTCCCTACCCCAACCCGTCCGGGGGCGGTGTTATATGGACGCACTTACTCCTGCCTAATATCCACCAAACAGCGAGAAGCTGCAGGCATTGTCTGACGACCGGGCGGCCACGGCACTCCGTGGTCGGGGCCTCCTTCATTACCGCCGCGCACACTAGGACCGATCCGCCGCCGGCTCAGCACGCGATACTGACCCTTACGCCGCCGGTGGCCGGGGGCGGTATTGAAACGGGCCGGGCTAGGCGCCGGCCGGCCGGCAGACTGCCCTGCCCGCGCCGGGCGCAGCCTGCCCGCCGGCCGGCGTGCGCTGCCTCCGGGGTGCAGTGCCGGCGCCGCTCATCAGTATGCCTCATTTCCCGGGTTTAGGGAGATGCACCGAGGGAAGTAATGACACCCCGTCTCGGCAGCCGTGCCCACAGTGCAGCGCCGGTGAGACGCCCGCAGCCGCCGGCGGCCGGCGGGGTACGCCCACTCCCCATGGCCAGGCTGATGGTAATGAGGTAATTAGGCTATAGGCTATCATCAGTGGCCCTAAGTCGCCCGGTGTTATGATGAATAGTCGGCGGAGAAGGCGTTGTGAAATAGCCTTTCAGAGGTGGACGCAGTCGGCGCACTGCCCAAGTTCTTACGATCTCTCAACCTAAAAGTGGGAAGGATAAAAAGGACTGAAGTAAACCAAAAGATTCATCCTTTCTAGTTATTATAGCAATAGGAATCACGAATATTCGATGCTTGAAATGAAACTGATTCGTGGAGTATGCCGCTAAATTTATTATTGCAGATAGTGGTCTTAATAGCAGTGCTAGTCTAGCGACAAAGTATAAATATTTGAATGATCTGGGTTTAATCCATCGATCTGGGCACATCTGTTCATTCGGATGTTCACGTCATCGTCACCACTATCTTTGCTGAGCCTAGCGTTCACAATTCACATCTCAGCACGGTTCTAGTATCAGAGGCCGGGCCCGGCCTGATAGCGTCCTCCCGCTCCCTCCACCGACTCCGGTTACAATCCTGTCGAGCTTCCCCCTTCCCCTCCCCTGACGAACGGCGTCGTTTGCCGGTGCCGACAGCCCGGCCCATCGCGACGATCAGAAGACGGCGGAGCAGCGGTGGCCGCCGTGTCGCCCTGCAGCCTCTGTGCTCCTTCTGAGGCAAGCGATACGATAGCTGCGCCACTGCAGCCACCGAGGTAGGCATCGAATGGCCACTGCGCCGCGCCAGCCACTGAGGCAGACAGAGAGTGGCCACTGGCCACTGCGCCGCGCCGGCCGCTGAGACGAACAATGCCTCTAGCCATACCCCCAGCCACAGCCGCTAATAGCCCAGCTCCTCGAGTTCGGGCCATTTCCTATCTCCAGAAACGGCGCTGCGGCGGTGGTCTGACGCTGATGGGCCAACCTTCCCGCGGAAATCTCATTTTACAGGCCATCAGCGTCGAATGAAATTAGCCGCGCTGTGGGGACAGAGACAAATCGAGTCTGCCCGCGGCTGGCCGGCTCCCGAATAGACGCCGATGTAAAAACTCGTGTTTCAGAGACACCAGATAGGCCTATAAGCCATGGTTTCGTGAAAGGGGTGAAGGCAATTACGCTGATAAAAACAGAGGAGCAAAAAACGGACATTGATTTATTGTAGGATACCGGGTAGAAAATGAAGCGACTATTCCAGCTTCTATCACTGAAAGAAATAAGATCGCTCGAGAATATATCAGGATTAGTGCGGTTGACGTCGGCGGCTAGACACAAACCCCCTGTGACATCACGCACTCCCCTGACCCTCCGGACATGCTGGCGTTTACGACTTTTCTCCTTACCGTGAGGCAGCCGGCGCTCTGGAAGCACTCGCCGTGCGTCGTCCTCGTGTCGGCGCCATACTGAAACAGACAGTGACGCGGCCGTCAGTGGACGCTCGTAAAGCGGCGCAGCGCCGCGCCACGGTGACCTTTGTGGCGCGGATGAGCTCCGGTGACGTTAACGGCGCAGCGGAGCGCCGCGTTGGCCGCCGCCGCCGGAGGACGCCGTAAAATGCCGCTCGGGAGAAGCGCGATAGGATCTCGGCTGCGATGTTGCGCCGGTGGCGGCCGCCGAGAGACGTGTAACGCCCGTGTTCGGGGGATGTCAGGTCATTGTGGAGAGGGGAGACCCGCGGGTGGTGGGAGGTTTGACCGCCCGGCACTGGAGTTAGCAGGAGGCCGGTGGTCACGGAAGGCGCGGCGGGTGGCAGGGACGCAGGCTGCGGTCCTTGACAGAGGAGAGAGAGAGAGAGAGAGAGAGAGAGAGAGAGAGGGGGGGGGTGGGAGGAAGGGAGGGAGGGAGATGTGTATATTGGTAAAGGTGTTATCGTGGAAGATGGTTGTTGCAAAACTTTGGGAACACCCTGTAGCACTACATACCTATGACAAAGACTGGGTTAGTGTTATGTTCATAACTGCAGTCGCCAGTCGCTGGTTAGTGTTCTGTGTAGCTTTGCAGTCTCCGGTACTAGTGTTTTGTGCGGCAGTCGCCAGAATCGGCATATCGAATGCAGAGCAGCAGGCGGAACCATGACTGTTAGTCGTGCTGCATTTACGAATATAATTTCATTCTCAGTTCTTGCTAGTGATATAGTGCGTGCTTGCAGTCGAAAATCAAAGATAGATGAGGATGCTAGTCCACCGGGTGCTTCGGTGGACTAGCATGAAAGAAAATCCGCCACTCTTGGTTGCCGCGAGGTCACAAATGTATGCAGTATCGCAGTCTCTATGAAACATTCCTGTGGCGTTATGCAACATATTGATTCTCAGGAAGTGCTGTTTTATGCAAAAATGCTGCATCCAAGGCCTGCATCCGCTGTACCTATGCAACAGTCAAGTCTGTAGCGTAGGTTATTTCCAATGCATCGATCCAGCCCAGTGCCCGAAGATGGGGTTATCGCTCTCTGTGTCGGCTCGGTACCAGTGTACGGATGTGATTTGATTCGATGGCCGGCCGGGTCGGTAGGCGGGGCGCCCGGCCCGTCCGGGCAGACCGCGCGCGCCGCCGCTGCACGATTTTATTGCCTTTGACGTATGGCCCGTCACTGGGCGGCGCTTTACTGCCGGGACGGGCCAGCTCGCGGTGCAGAGACGCCGTCGCGCAGTGCGCAGCACCAGGGATGTCGGTGAGGTCAAGACGGGCAGCCACAGACCCACGGAATCAAACTCACTGGCGTCAAACGCTGCCATTTTCGTAGAATGCGGTGAGAACCTAGAGCCAACTAAAAGCGTCACACGCTGGTCAGACTTTTACCCGCGAGTGCACTGTAGGCGATCCATGCATTCTAGCGCTTCAGGGGCCCCCCAAAAAATGATGGGAAATATGAATAAATACTGGCGTATTTTGTAGCTAAATATCCCAGCATCTGAAATGTGACACTCTTTTTTACACCAAACCACACACATTAAAACCACAAACGTCCAAACACGAACTTGTTGGAGAAGCTGAGCTACGGTACCGGGTCGTGATTTGACCCTAGTTACAATGAGGAGGGCTGTAAATCAAGACAAAAGTTAATTATCTTGAAAACCGTAATTTCATTTGAAGCCACATTCCTTGTAAGCAGTATGCATCACACAAATTTTACTTTTGAAACTTATCTATATTTTTAATAATTTTTCGCAGCACACCTTTTAACTGCATCAGATCAATACTGTTAACCATGTTTGGCAATGCGCATCGTTTACCATCCAGGAGATTCGGTAACAAAAATACCATTACATAGTAGCCTGGTGTTTGGTCTCAATATCCTGCAAAAATCGGCTGCCACTTTTTGCGATTCACGGAGTTATGGACGTTTTGCTCAACCCTTACCGTATAAGGTGGGGACAGGGCCGAGGGGAGGGGCGAAGTACCGCCGCCCAACCGAAGATTCTGTTCGCGACAGCTCCGAACTCGCCAGCGATAGAAAACTGAAACTTGGCATACCTGACCTTTGATTCAAGTCGAATCTTGTGACACCAACTACATTTTTAGGTCAGGTCAGTTAACGGACCAATGACGTCATAAGTGAACCTCTGCACGATCCTCAGATGTCGCAACTTCGCAAAGCCCTCAATGCCAGAGCAGCTTTCACATGGAGATGAAACTTACAGAACCTAGTATCCTCCAGAGGATTCACAGTTTGTATGTCTCGGATTTTCCCTAAAGGTCACATGAGGTCAGGTCGATCACATGACGTCTCACCATTGTGAGTTAATGTTGTAAAATGAACACTGCTATTTTGGCGCCGGGAACGATATCAAACTAGTTCAAGCTTTACTTTTGCAAGGTCCGATGCTTTACTTTTGCATTATTGAACTTGCGTGACGTCATTTATGACGTCACTATGATCTGGTCATTATAGTTTTTGGTCCATAACTCCCCATCAAATTGAGCTAGCGATTCAGGCAAGCCACCAATGAACTCAGGAAGATCTGCCGAATCGAATGGTATGTAATTTGACCTCCTTCGACCATTTCCGTGACCTGGGAACTCTGACCTAAAAAAACTTACAATCGGGTAGGTATAGAAATGGCTTCCGTTCGGGGAGAGCAGCATGCCCACGTTGCACCGAAGTTCTAACTCATTTAGAGGCCAAACGGAAAGCGAAATTCCTACTCCTTCCTTTAACTTTGTTAGCGTAAATTCATTTCGCAACTTTGAATCCCAACCACCAAACATAAGCGTTACGTTGTAGGTAGACACGACACTAGCTAAAGCTATTTATTTGTTGAACATGTGATCGGAACGTTCAAGCAACCACAATTTTTCGCAAGTCATGGTCTCCTCTTTTTTGCTTTGCAATTGCATCTTAGCTTTGCTTACATGCAATTTCAACGCTAAACCATTTCCATTTCACCGATAATTACCTTCTTCCTAAAACACGATAATTTGCGATCTCCTGAAATGTGGTAGTCTATTGGTACTATTTTCCCCCAAACAGACCAGCCTGAAAGCGCCTCTGCAACAATGTTTTCTTTGCAAAACCAGCTCACGTGGTTTGCGATCAAGTGGTTCATCCGTAACTGCCCAGCTAACAATTTGCCGTTGTTACAACGTCGTTTAAACGTTGTCAAATGGTTACCACAACGTCCCGATTTATCGTTGTGACAACGTAATTTTGTAGACTCCAGACAACGGCGTGACAACGTCATCCGACCATGCATTTGAATGTCATCACAACGTTTCTGTAACGTGGCCGTGACGTCCCAAAACTGTTCTTACAACGTCCCGCCAACGTTATGAAATGTTTTCTGTAACGTACCAACAGTGTTTCTGGAACGTTGTCACCACGTTTCCGCAACGTGACTACAAGGAGTATAGAACGCTTTGGCAACGTCTCTGCGACGTTTTTATCACGTGCGCACCACGTTGTCGCTACTTCGTATTGCCGTCCCTGCGACCCTGAGTAAACGTCCTAAACATTTTCGCAACGCCCTCTCAACGTGTTCGCAACATACTCAGAATGTGTTTCCGACGCTCTCTTCCCGTTCTCTAGACTTGTAAAAAAAAGGCATGTAAGAAGTGTATATTTCAATACATCATACAGGTCAATTGACAAAAAAAAAACGGCGGGGGCGTTCATTCATTCATGGGGGCGTGGGACGGAATTGGGTTCTACCGGCTCTGGCGCTAGCCGCTAGCACGCCAGAACTGGTGTTCACTTCTGAACTTCTTCACTAGTGAAGAAGTTCACTTCTTCACTAACCCTCGCTGGGAGGATCACTCGGCGGACCGTTAGGCACCGGCTCATTTGAGGCCTCGATGTCCCTAGGCAGCTGGCAGTGCCTGACTAGACGGTTTGCGCACCCCCCGTTCCGGTCGCAGCTTCCGGACAGCCACCGGACAGACAGCCACATTGCCGACAGTAGGCCCGCCACAAGGCGCGCTGACGAGTTGCAGGACGTCTGCGGGAAGACATGAGGGAAAATCAGACATTCAATTCATGAAAAAATCACAAAAAATACCTGCACCACTTTCCGTAACAGTGCGACAGGCTAGATCAAATATGTCAACACCTTAGAGGCTAGAGCTACAATGAACTATAGCCTAGACCGCACGATATTACAAGGCGCAATCTTGCAAATGCTACTCGTAAATGGTACTTTGACTTACCAGTCAAAGCAACAATCGCATCAAACGCAGACAACTGGCGCTATCTTTCATCTTCCAGCTATCTCAGCCGCGCCCGTCGCCGGCCCTCACTGCTCGCTCGCGCCGCGTAGACTGCGGCTCGGCCGGCTGGCTCTGAACGCCGGCCGGTGACACTGACGTCACGACCCCTCAGGCGAGGTCAGGGCGCGAGCCACCGTTCGCCTGAGTGGCGGCCCGCGTGGCTTGCTGGCAGCCGTGGATAACAGCCGCGTTTACATAGGGATAGTTGCAAGCCTCTAGCTCCGCCTGTGATGTTGCAAAACATGCCAATGACGCTTTGCAATTTACACATGTTATATATATATATATATATATATATATATATATATATATATATATATATATATATATATATATATATATATTAGAGAGAGATAGAGAGAGAAAGGTATCAGAATTTACTTGTAAAAACACCGCTAATTATTCAGTACCTATAATGTCAAGGTTGTGAAAAACCGTTTTAACAACGTGTTGGCGACCACCAGCTGACAACGTGAACAGTCCAAGTGTTAAAATATGTCAAATTTAACGATGAAAACTGAATATGCGCATTGAAAGTCAAAGAAAATGCATTATATGGCCATATAGTTATGTCACCATGCATTATCAAAATATAATGCTGCAAGTGCGCGGTTGCTGCAACGTACCAATAAAACGTTGTCACGACGTTTTACCACGACTTTCGGACCAAACCATGGCTTCACAACGTTCAGAACGTTGCTACAACGAAATTAAAACGTAATTTCGCAACTTACCGAAACACGACGTTGTGACAACGTTGTAGTAACGTTTCCTGTTAGCTGGGTGACGCTAGTTGAGAAGTAAGTCATAACACAGACAACACTGTATATGTTTTTGCTAAGCCTCTTCTGTCCTGTGTTAAGCCTATGGGGAAAAGGCATTGCTCGCTCTCTTGCACGTTGCAAAGAAAACCCGATTACTTCTAAAGCAAATACTTATATCAGTTGAAGCGCAATGAAACTAGGCACAAAATAAGGGGTTTAAAGATGACTGGTTTTGAGTCTAACTTAAGATATAACTCATGAAGTGCTAGGATAGCGAAATCGTCTACTGTGGAGTCGTGGATTCCCAATAATCCACTTCCAGAAATCCTCACCACAACTCAGCCACCATTCTAGTTTCCACGCGAGGCTGCACTGAGCGGTGGCCACCCCTACATCCAGCGCCGGCCGGTGGAGGCTGCCACTCCGGAGGAGTGTAGTAAGGCAGCGCTGGTCCAGCGTTTCGGCGGCCACAGGAGCGGCCCGGAGTCTGTATCTCGCCATCTCCCGGCGGCTCTCGCCGGCCGGGAACGGTCATTAGCGTCGAATCACGAACAGCCAAGGTCAGACGCGCACGCTCCAACGCCACCGCAGAGCCGATAAACGCCGCAGGTGCGCCATTTACGGCGCTGCTTCGCCGCTAGAGCAGCAGATGCGTCGGGTGTGCCGTCTGTCTGCATTTTCGAGTGCGGCGGAGGAGACCGACAAACGAATGAGGCATTACAATAACCAAGGGCATGAAAGTGGATAATCTTTATGAATAAAAGACACTTGAGCTAAGGCGTTCGAAAACATTGGCATTCTGTCAACGTCAACAATATCTGCAATGAGGGATTGGGCGGGACCGATCCAATAGACAGGAAAGTCGGTCTTCTCCATTTAGAGCTCAGCCAACTCTTAGTGGGCTGCGAGGTTACACTAATGGCGACGGTTAGAGTGAGGTTTTTGGATATGGTGCTCTGGAGAAGAAGTCTCCTGCTGGTAAAGCAAAATAATAGTTTGACAGCTCAACGGAACATTTTCAAAAAGTTGTTGAATTCATTAAAAAAAAAACTGCGAAAAATGCTAATCTCTTCCGGTGAAAAGTTTGGTTCGTCTTATCTTCCTGAGGAGATAAGGAGACACGTCGCTCTTCGCGAATCACAGGCTTGTTTGCGGAGTATCGGGAACGCATGATTAATGATTATACGCGAACACGTAGTGCGAAGTCACAGCTTGATTTATATTGCTTTCAAATGTTTTCCGACTTTTCGATATTGGCTGTTGGACAACAATCAAAGCATCAGTAACAAAAGTTAAAAACTACACACCGATACTCTCAAGACTCTTTGCCCTGCAACTTCTCTCATCAAGACTCTTTGCTCTGCAACTACTCTCATTTTTCCATTTCACAGCGTGCTGCCGGCTTCGGGAATACTGCAACCGGCCCACTTCTTTGCACAGTGCATTGATTTGCGTGCCCTCCCTGTCAACACTGTCCCCACAGTCCATCACATCCCGATCGCCCTGCCGCGAACACACGCCGGCTGAACACGCAGATGCCGATCAGATAGCGCTCGGCCACTGTTCCACGCGGCTGTATGTGATTGGTGTTGCGAAATGCGAGCCCTCGATGGTCAGTTGCAGACGTTGCACAAAGGCACAGCCGGGCATTGTTTGGGTCTCGAGTTTCAGTTCGTGGATTGAATCCTGAAGAGTGCATGCAATATTGCAAGATGTTGATTACTAAATTTAGCATGCGCTATATAAATGGGTTTGCATCTGCCTATAACATGAAGTTAACAGTGAAAGAAAACACGCATACCAAGTTATATTAGTTCATGAACTTAAAATATGAGCGGGTCCAGGTAAATTAATCTACATATATGTAATAACGTGCCACGCCAGAGCATGCCAGCGGTATTCAATCCTGTATAACCCGGCAGCACTCTCATCACCTCGTTCCTGAGCGTTGAATCTCCCCCGGATAGCCTTCTCACCTCGTCCAAACATAGAGCGCGGCACTGAGCCGTCCTGGTAGCCCGTAACTCGGCTCCAGCCGCGGCCGCCGTCAGCCACGCACACAAAACCAGCGCCACTCGCACCGCCATAGCTGCCCGCCGTCTGCACCGCCGCGACCCACCGCCGCCGCGCCCGTCCGCTCACAACTGAGGATCGGCCGGGCGCCGAGTACGGCTGCTGCCGCTGCTGCCGCCCACCGCTCCCCGCCCGGGGCGCCCGCCGCCGCCGCCGCCGCCGCCGCCGCTGGTCCGGCGCACACAGAAAAACTCTCGGGCCGGCTGGAGCGAGAGGCTGCTCTGTCCAGCCGAGATGGTCCGCTGAGCTGGACTGAGACCACCCACTGTGCATCGGACCGGCAGGAGCATGATTAACGAGACAGTGTATTGTTGCACCGTTGAATAGCCATCGGAAGCGCAGCGTTCAGAAGAAAAGTAAGACTGATGTCATCTATAGGTAATAAAAGGTCACCAATATATTTCGACAGTGACTTTTGATAGATGCTGTCTAAAACAATGACAACATCTTGAAAGCTCACAGTTCAACAATGCAATGCGATATGGCCTTTCGTTCAGGTCATTAACTTCATGAACTTGAGTAAAATTGAACATGTATGCTTTGAGGGTCATGTATGCTTTGAGGAACTCGAAAAAATAACCGTTTTTATGAAAACTGTTTTTCTAACATTTGACTCAAGAAAGGCACGACATTTATTTTCCAAGCACCGTATTCCTCCCGTCAAGACGCGTCGAGTGAACTATAATTTGTTCTTGAAAAGTCTCTTCCAAAATTTGACCCAAGGTCAAGGTCATGGCCTGACCGAAAAAGGTCATGCTGCATATATCAGTCGATCCGTATCGTCGACCCGAATACGTTCAAGTGTTTTCATCGCTCTACCCGATGTTTGTCAAAAGTCATTGCCAAAAAACTGCTGGGGACCTTATATGACCTGACATGACCTCGGACACATATAAGGATGGGGTTGTCAAAACACGTAGGGGAAGGTGGGGTAAGACGGATCAGCTAAGGTTTGAGGCCGCATATCTTGCTACACTGCTCTCGTAATTCATATTATTTATAGTCTTCGGAATGCTCAATCCTTCCTCTGTTGATATGTGTAAAGACTAAATTTCAAATTAAAGACATCTAGGTGGTGGATGCTTTTAAAGAGGGACATGTCAAAAACTCAGACAAGAAAAAACGTGGGGTTAGACGGACCACCCAGCAGTGCCTGCTATCCGTTCATCTGTGCTCTTGTGAGAAAAAGTAACCAGGGCCTCGTTTCATAAAGCGAGTCCGTAACTTACGTCGGTTTTTGGTCTTGTATTGCAAGTGCATGTGAGGCGATGACGATAGTTTGAATCGTTGAATTTATTTATCTTGTAAGCAAGAACATAAGGGAGAGGGGGAAAAACTTTATCGCTTCACATGCACTTGCAATACAAGACCAAAAACCGGCGTAAGTTGCGGACTCGCTTTATGAAACGAGGCCCAGAATGGTAAAATAACAAAATGAGCCTTTATTCTTTACTCAGGTGTGATGGAAGTGCAGCTAAAAGCTGGGAACATGTGTGTTGATTGTTAATTGGCATGAATGCATGCTAACTGAGCACTTGCATGCATGGCTCACATGCAACAAAGACTCCTTCCTGAAAAATTAGCTTACTTAAACTTGTGTCAATGTTTTGGAAAAGAACTTTCCATATGCAGGGTACAATGGACCACCACAGGGTAAGATGGACCACAGTGGCCCGTCTTGCCCCAAATCTAAATTCAGTCATTATCATGACGTATACTCGTATGTCAAATAGCCCAACATTGCAAAACCTTGCCTTTCCAAAAGTGTGACTATAGCTAAGTTTATAACTTTGTTCTTCACAGTTAACCCGCGCCCCACTGGGGTCTGTGTATAACACGCCCTACTGGGGGGGGGGGCTATTCATAGCCCCCCCCCCCCTCCTAACTCCGAAACTACTGGGCCGATCGTCAAAATTCAAACGGCATCTGATAGCCCCGGAAAAACTGTCGAGCGAAACCTAATTTCATTGACCTCGAGGTCACCGATGACCCGATGACGTCACAGGTCAGGTCAAAGTAAAAATTATCGATATTTGGCTTGTTCACATTTTGAGCTCTGGCTGCCGTCTTACAAGTCAGATCAGGCTGAGTTTTGGTTTACGCAATCGTGAGCAGATGCTTTAGATACCCTGAGGGTACCAAACTTGTACTTTGATTTTCAGGTCAGGGTCAGGTCATCATAGGTCACGGAAATCTTATGTCATAAGTCTGTCACGTGACACATGTTTTATGGTCCATTTAGGCCATAGATTTCGAATTAGTTGTCGCCTGTGTCATTTGAGGCCATTTTCATCTGAATATAGCTGAGGTCAAAAGATGCACGGAAAAGATGCACGAACAGGTGTGCCAAAGACGGCGGCGCGGAGCGCCGCCGTTTTTGATATATCTGCGAAAAACCGCAGGGGGGGGGTTGTTCAAACACCCCCCCCCCCTCCCCGCCCGGCGTGGGTTAAGAATAGCCCTATGCGGGCTATGGCCTAGGCCATGATTTCAGGGATGAGCACACGATGTAAATAAATAAATAAATAAATAAATTAATTAATTAATTAATGTCTTAGCAAGAAAAGATGGTCTAAAGCAGTTATATGCAATATGCTCAATACAATATGCCCGGATCCAAGCGTTGAATTCGGTTGAATTAGTTAACCGTCCTGGGGGACCCCTCACAAGTAGCGCTGACGATAACGCTACCTCACGTCACATGAGCTCCGGTCGGATGAGCTGCCCACGTCGGATGGAGGTGAGGTGTTAGTGACAGATAACCGTCCAGTCCAGCCCGGAAGAGAGCGCTTGAGGTTTTGAGAAGGATACTATATATAGTGATAAGAGGGGTCGAAGGGAGGTCGTGAGAAAAGAATAACATCCACTTTTGTTTTTTCCCGATTGGCAAATTGAAGAGTATGACGAGACACCTATCGGATACATTCAAAACTACTGCACTATAGATGTCGCGCATAGCCAGCTTGCGGACAAGGAAGTCTAACACAAAAACCCGGTTTACATAGCATATTTGACGAGGCTCTAGCTCGTTAATGTGGCGATAATTTCGATGCAGTGGTCTTCAGATATTTAGAGGGGATCATTTTGTAAATTGTTAAGCACCATAAGCATCTTTTGCAACATCACGGACGGAGATATAAGCTTGCAACAAACCCTATGTAAACCGGGTTAAAGAGAGGCATACAGCCTAGAGAGAATTGGTATTTACTGGTTCTTTGATTTCATTTAAATCTTTTGGCATTGCACTTTCTGTTCCAAAAGATGCTCAGTTATTCATAATGTGAGAATATCTCGCATTTTATTATCAATTTTAAGTACGTCATTTCCTAGCTCAGTTTTCTACTAAAATTATTATAGCACCCTTGATGGAAGTTGCATTTGTGACGCAGTCTTTTTTCTCAAATGTATATAGGAGGCACTGAACATATAGGAGGTGACCGGTGACAATTTATTTTTCAAATACTTTTGCATCTAAATATTTGTCTTTTTCGATAACGTGCATTAAAGAAAATAACCCTTCATAGTCTTAAAGGAAATAGTTCACTTTCACGAAATTATTTTTTTTGCAACGATTTATGATTTTTTATGTTCAAAATAATCAGCAAAGAAAATAAAACCTTTTTATAACAAAAGATTTTTTTCTATATTTTGATATAGGAAGAACTTTTCAGTTTCTGTAAGGCACACGCGATCCAGTATGAAAAGAGCATGGGTCCCGAAAATTCTTCAGAAACAGAGAAATTATCGCAGCCACCGGCATTTGGGCGATCTGCTCGATCTGATAATGTTCCCCTGAATGTCCTAATTGATCAGTACGAGAATTTCTCTAGAGTTCTCGTAGATAATTTCTCTAGTTTCTGAAGAATTTTCGGGACCCATGCTCTTTTCATACTGGATGGAAATATATGCAAGGCACACATCCTCAACGCAAGACACCTTTTTCGGGACGAGAAATAGAATATCTTTGCCTAGGGTGATCGTTGGGCTGTAAAAGCTCCTGATTTATGCTCGTCTCAGCCTAAGCTACGGAACTGCTATTCCAGTTCAAAACCCATGTTAAAAAGTGAACTATTTCCTTTAACTGTAAGTAAGGATAAACTTTTGTTTTGCTGGCTCCTAGTCCTGCCTACCAGCGTTGGTGTCATTAGTAATTGTAATCGGATTCCAATTCGGCAGCAAAGGCTTGAGGGTGAAATGCTGTTTATTTTGATTTGTGCTGGGTAGGGTAGGCACCAAAGCAATAAGGTATTCATTAAGAAGGCGTCTCATGAGATGCCAGATTAAATACCAGGTGGTTTCTCAAGAATTTTTTGGCAGGACAGTTAATGTCATGGTGTGAACAATTGAGTTGAGAAAGCAATTCAAATTATAAAAAATACATTTCCTTGAAATGTTTCTGAATGTTGCAAAGAAATCAGAAATAATGTGTTTATTTTTCCCTCAGAAAATGTGCATTGTGCTCTATTTACAAAATGACGTCACCAAACCGGAACACATTTTCAGGTATTCTAGTTACTACGGCCTGGGTAGGCACTTACTGCGTACCCACACCTAGCACTGCAGCCCCAAGCAGGGTCCTGGGTCCTGTTTCAAACCATTTTATATACTGTACAGTGTACACACCATGAATATGTTAATATTCATCTCAAGGAATTGCAGTTTGGCAGTCACACTGCAAAGTGCAAGCAGCTACATCCTATTGCCTTCTGGCTTGTACTTTCATTAAAATTTCAAAAACGTCATTGGATGTTAACAATGAAAATTGTTGATGTTTCCATGAAAACTGAAAGGTGGCTAGCAGCATGCCATAAAACATGGACTGGCTCAGTCCAACTCCAGACCTTAGTGGCTCCATCCCAGTTAAACTGTATTTAGATTTTTCATATGATATTGATAGGTTACAGGCTAAGGGTGAGATAAAAAATGACAGAAGTGTCGCTTACTCAGTGGCGCCTTCCCAACCATTCTTTAATTTATCATCAGGTACCTCATGGTGATTTATAGCCTGAGCTGCTCCATTTCTTTACTGACATCTACATTGATAATGAAAAATATAAAGTGATTTTTAGGGCACAGTTGTCCACATTCATTAATAATGTATTAAGACATTGTTCACTTTAATCCATATTTCATGCCACCATTTTTCCTAAATAGTTTATCAAATTTGGAATGATATGGGTGTGTCATTTCCTTTTTTGCATTTATAAGTACAGATGCTGATGAAGCAATAAAACAAACAGTAAAAATAAGAGCAATTCCTCTAGTAATAGCTTGCTTTAAGATCAGCATGCTTATTACTTAAGATTTGCAGTACATAGTACATTTATAATGCATGTTGGCCATGGAGATGATAAGACTTTGTTCATTTATAATTTGATTTTCCAGACATCTGTTTTTTATCACATAAAAATGCCCCCCTTGTAACTTCCTTTAGCTTAACATATCGACACCTTTTTTTAAACCCCACATCTGTTCTCCGGTGAATTTCCGGGAAGCACGAAAGATCTCTTTTTAGAAGTGTCCAATCGTCCCATCCTGATCAAATTTGTGTGTTCGTAAGCTTGCTCTGGCATTGCTTGATCTGCCAAGACAGACAAACTTGAGAAAAATCGAGTGACTGTACCTTTTTTGAAGGTTTCTTAACAACTTGTCTGAACTTCACGAGAGAACAAATGTGGGGTTTTAAAAAAAGGTGTCGATATTTGCTTTTGTTGGTCATTTTTTATTTTGGTCCAGTTAAGATGTCAACGTGAAAAAGTTTTATCAACGGTGTGACATTTTCATATCTGTTTCAGCACTAGGGACTACCTTTTGTTGCAATGTCCTGCTGACAGCAGTCAGAGCGTGAGCAGTCATGGCTGGCGGCAGCGGCGGCGCGGACACCGCGGACGACACGCGCACGGCGCGCTCGCTGGCCGCTCTGTCGTTCGCCGTCACCGTGATCGCCGTCGGCGTGCCCGTCTGGCTAAAAACCACCGAGATCTACCGGGCGGCCATCCTGTACGGCGGTATCGCCGGTCTGCAGGAGCTGGAGCTGCGGGTGGGTGCCGGCGCGCGGCTGGAGGTGCTGGCGGAGGACGGGCCGGCCGCCGAGCGGCTCGCGGCCGGCCTGGCGCCGCTGCTGCCAGACTGTCGGCTGGACGGCCGCTCGTTCACGGAGGCAGAGCGGGGCCGACTGGCCGACGCCGCGGACCCGTGGGCGGCGGACGACGCGCTGAACTCTGTCGGAGAGTCGGACCACCTGCGGCTAATAGTGCTGCCCGAGCGGCTGGCGCCGTCCGCCGCCGCGCCGGTGATGTTCGGACGCTACGCTGACGTGTTAGTGACGCCGACGGTTGGTGCTGAGCAGCTGGCCGCGCTGCTCCGCCAGACGGTGGTCGGGGATGTGTCTGACGCGGTGGCCACTCGCCGAGTCCGCTCAGCACCCGCCTACGACCTGCTGGTGTCGGTGGCGGCGCCGCGGCCACTCTCACCCGAACCTCTCTGGGACGGCAGCGGCGCGGCCGGCCGTCTGCTGGAGCCGGTCATCGAACGGCTGCGACCCCTCGCCAACATATCCGTCAAGTCTCAGCACCTCTACCACGCGGACCTGGGCGTGCGGCCCGGCTGGGACGACACGGCCGGCGAGTATTTCCTCTCGGAGGAGCAGCTGTCGCTGGTGGTGACGCCGCTGGAAGCCCGGCTGGGCGCCTCCGTCTCCGGCCGGCCCACGCTGCAATTTGTGGTGTACGTGCCAGCTCCGGCGGAGCAGCCGCTGCACCTGCGGCCGGCCGGCGCCGCCGACGCGTTCCTCTCGCCGCGCTGGGGTGGTGTGCAGGTGTACAACCCGCCGGCCGGTCAGGAGACGGTGGATGCGCGCCGCGTGGTGACGGTGCTGGTTACCCAGCTGCGCCTGCTGCTGGGTGTGCCGGAGCCGCCGCCTGAGGCCGCCGTCCGACCGGCCGGCCCCAGCGGACTCCGTGGCTGGGAGCTGATGGCGCTCCGCCGGCGGCGCGCTGTCGAGAACGTGGAGAGCGCACGCCGGAACCTGGCCTCGCTGGCCGCCATGCTGGAACAGATCTCCAACATCGTCATCGACGACTCGGTGGGCGCTGCGGTGCAGGACGGCGTGGCGGCGGCCGAGGAGGCGGCGCGGTACCTCGCTGAGGGACGGGAGGCAGACGCGTACGCCAGCTCGTGTCGAGCGCTGGCCAACTCAGAGCGGGCCATCTATGACCCGAGCATGCTGGCGCTGCTGTATTTCCCGGACGACCAGAAGTACGCCATCTACATTCCGCTGTTTCTGCCGGTCAGCATCCCCGTGCTGATGTCGCTGCGCAGCATCTGGGGCTGGGTCAGAGGCGCCCCGGAGAAGGTGAAAGCTGAGTGATGCCGCCCAGCCCCTTCGTCATTGAGACGGCCTGTGTGGCGTGACAGAGTGGTTGGTCGTAAAGAGACTCAACGGACTCCCACTGGAGATGGGAAAGACATTGGTGCGCTCATCGTCATGTGTGCTTTGTATGATGGTGTGATACCTTTTGGCTGGTTCTGTAGTGGTCAAACGGGCTGATGATATCCTTTGAATGTGATTTGTTTCGCTCAATCAGCTTGTGTGTTTCGGCTTCTGATGACCGGATTTTGAATGTGAGCTTGTGTTATGTCCATTCACTGCAGGTTGTGCACCGGTTTCTGAAAACCACCCAGTCAGATATGAATGTCCTTGTCCACGCTGCGCTTAGACATTGTCGTCCCGTGTTATACGAGACTGTCGTGATTACTACGAATACTGTGTTGTACATTTTATCGGATCACTGGCACTTGTTCGGACAACTATGTGATACGTAAATGCTTCGATGAAATGAAATGCACTGAAATTGCAACGGACTTTTTTCTTCTGTGCTCTACTTGCATCGGCCTTCTCTGTGCGTGACGTCACTGCTGTGTGTTTTAGCGCGTGTGGGATCCATCAAAGCAGACCACGTCATTTTGGTTCAGTTAAAATCGGCATTGGACTGTCATTTCTCTGGGCTCGTTCTGCCTCGAATAGGCTTATACCGGGGATGGGCTTAAGGGGCCGTTGCACTGACCTAGAGAAGAAATCCTACAAATGGACTCCGGTTGGCATGCTGACGTTTCTAATTGAGCTGTGCCAATTTGAGATCATCCTCGGAGGCGGGGTGGATGGATCGGATGGTTTGGGAGAGTCGCTCGATCGAGCCAGATCGCCCCCAGTCAGATAATTAATCTATCATGCCACAGGTGACAGACGGAAACTGGACCAACGCGGTCAGTAGTTCGAATCTGAGCGTTAGTGCCCTGAGTCGACCCAAATGCATTTTGATATTCAATTAACGAAATACATGGTACCATTAATGAGAAACTAAATCGTGGTAGAAGGTGGTTGTCAAAATGTCAGTGGCTGCCTTTCCGACACCCATCGAGCTGCGGCGTCAGATCAAGAATTTTCGCGTAGTTCAGTATGTATGAGCGCTTCACAAAGAACTTGCTGCCAATAGGTCGAACGAAAAAGCCTAACCCACGGCAGCACAAAATCTCGCTGGAACTTTGAACGGTTCGATGAAATGTGAACTACCCCACATTCTGTCGGTACCATTGGCTCATGATATGTTTATTCGATGTTAGATGCATTTCGCTACCAATATGCCTGTGCTTATGTCCTGCCGTACGACTCGACTGCAGAAGTCAATGAATAGTTGCCGTCAGTGTCGCTAGATGTCTCTGTCGTATGGCGCCTGAAGCATGCTGTGCCGCAAAGCCTCACATGCTGTGCCGCAATGCTTCACACACGAGGCAAAATTCAAATACTTGAGTTATGGCCTCTAGCCTTGGCAAATTTTCCTCTATGTTCGAAGACAGGTCCTCGGCAGAAGTATGCGTAAGAAGCAATTATTTTACACATAATTACGATGATATTTGACCCGGTCACAGGGGGGTGCCATCCCCCTGACAGCTTTATCGTGAGTGCTCAGAACACGTTTGCGATAGAGAGCAGCTAAAAGTTGACATACCTGACCTTTGATTCAAGCCGAAGCTTGTGACACCAACCACATTTTCAGGTCAGGTCAGGTAACTGAGCTATGGTGTCATAAGTGACCCTTTGTACGCTTTCCAGCATGTCGCACATTCTCAACGTCCTCAGTGCCGGGGGATCTTTTGCAGAGAGATGGAACTTGCAGGACATAGTAACTTCCCGAATAGGTGCTCATACTTGCATATCTTATATTTTTCATAAAGGGCGCCTGGGGTCAGGTTGGTCACGTGACCGCAGTCATGAACATAATGATGCCCAGATTATCGTCCGCGTTCCACCGTGCACCGAGGTTTATTTTTAACATTTGACAGGTACCTATGCGTTAGGCTTACCATGGATCTCCCAAACACCAGCGAACAGAAGAGAGACCAAGTAATCTCAACTCCCGTTTTAACGTGATGCTCCGCAGCAGTTTAGTATTTAGACTATCATTTTTTTATTGTGGCAATCCCGTATATTTTCGATACTCGGCTCATAGACCTGACCAGTGACCGTTTAACCTATCGATCAAACCCCAAATTTACCTGCCAATGCTTCAATCCCCTTCCATTGGTCTCCGGAGTGTGTGGGCGCGGCACCTGTTGCGCGGGGGCGTGTGACGTCATCTCAGCAGCCTGAGGAGGGCCTCGTCGGTGTCGGCGCGTCGGACCAGGAGGGAGCCACAGGTCGCCGTCGGCCCAGACCGCCGGCGGAGCCCCGAGAGACACCACTGACCAGTGCGAGCGGCCGCCAACCCGTGCGCAGGTAACGAACCACTCCTCACCCGGAGACGGCAGGGGCAAGATTACTTTACTACTCGGCAGGGGTGCCTGCTGTCCTACTTCACCAGGTTCCCTCTAAAATCCAAATAAATACCGTTATGCATCCCTGGAATGCTTCTGTTATCAAAGAAGTATGTATATGCCTAGGCGAGAAATTATATGAGAATTGTATGTTCACTTCATTTTTAGCGAAGAATCCGTATCTATAAGAGGTTACTCACACCTACCTCCAGGCTCCAGGATAAAATGTAGGAAAGAGGTCAATAGATAAAAAATGCCGGGTGTGTTTAATTCATTTTTACCACTTCCTTAAACATTGAGGCGAGCGTACAATTTGAACAGCCCCGGTTTCGCGTACCTACTAAACAGGCCTCCAGCCAACGCCTCACGATCCGCCTGTGCCCGTCAGCCTGTCCACAATGTCCGTACTCGGTGGACGGGTGCCGCTGCTGGTGCCGCTGCTGGCCCTGCTGGCCACGCTGGTCTCCAGCGGCGACTCTCGCCGGCTCTCCCCCTGGGAGATGGCCGAGAGGGCCGAGCTGCTGCTGGAGGAGGTGGCAGACGACCTGCTGGCTCAGGAAGAGGCACAGGGAGAGGACGGCCGCAAGGCGCCGACGCCGGCCCAGTTTCAGTCGCGCTGTGAGCTGGTCGGTGAGTAGTCCAGTCCCACTGTGAGAGGTGACTGGTCCAGTTTCTATGTAAGCTGGTCGGTGAGTGGTCCAGTCTCGATGTAAGGTGGTCGGTGAGTTATTGCAAGCTAGTCGGTGGGTAAGTGTCAGGCTCGCTGAGGTTGCTTATGAATTATCTCGTGTGACTCAGCTGCACAAAACTAAGCATTGCTTGTTACTTGGATAGTACCCAGTTACAAGTACGCGCTCTGATGTCACTCTCACCCTCGACTGACGGTTTTACCTCTCCGCCCTTCAGGTCACACCCAGCTGGTCCAGGTGCGCGGCTGTGCGCCGGTCGAGCTCACGGTGAACGCCTGTGACGGCATGTGCGGCTCGTCGGCTCACCCTTCCAGCTGGCACACGCTGAGCATGAACCCGAGACACGCGGTCACCTCCGTCGGACAGTGCTGCAACATTATGGAGACGAAAAACGTGAGTGGAAAACGTGACTTAGCAGCCAAAATGTAACTATTGACCAAAACTGTTTATGAGAAGCCAAACTAAATATAATGGAATGCAGTCAAAATATAATGGAATGCGGTCAGTCACGAGACGAGACATGGTTATGAGCGTAAAATAAATATGTGTTCATGCAATTTATTTCATACCCACAGATAAATAATGTACCAGTGTCTGCCTGTTACCTAGCTCTTGACACAGATAGCCCGCCATGAATTTATGATATCTTATCCTGTGTTCCAGGTCAGCATTAAAATGGAGTGTATCGATGGTCCCAAGTACGTGAAAATCAAGTCAGCTAAATCGTGCGCGTGCTTTCACTGCAAGAAGACGTGAAGGCGTTCTTATAAAAGGGGCATAAAGCATATGACGTCCTGATGAACGTCTACTTTGTTGCTGCAGCGCTCGTACATGTGTGTGAAAGCAAACCAAAACATATAATAGTTATTATTTGGTCGACATTGGAATATACGGTGATGCGTGATTCGTTGACAGAACGATGTTCCCTTCCATGCAAGATATGTTTGAATATTGTGAGCCTGTGCATCAAAGCATCGGTATGCTGATTTTGCACGGTAGTAATAAATGATAGAGTAGTCGGTAAGCTTTCGTAAAAAGTAATCAAGATGTAGGGCATGATCAATACTAGAATATCTAATTGTATTTGATTTTCATCACTGCTTCATTTTGTGAGTACGCTAATTATAAAATCACTTAGATTAACGGGCCGTATCATTCGTAATCCGACGATTTATTTATGATTACTAGAGCTGCCATCTGGTTTCGACGTGCCACCGACGAACATCAAACGCCTACCTGGCATCACTCGTAAACACTCAGTGTTTCACACAGGAAATGACAGCAATGGTGGAACTCTCCATCGATGTTTTGCTGGTACGTAGGTACTAGGTATATACGTCTATCATCGCTAGAATCGTTCAGAAGCGGCATCCAGTGAGGCTAGCCAAGTAATTGCGATACAAAACATCTTAGAACGAGGACATTTTGAAGAACGATCGGCAGCTTCAGAGACCCTGACCGCGTTGCAACCCAACACCGTTTTGTCGTATGACCGCTGGGACAACCTCATGATCAAGTTTTTGGCCAGGTAAGTTCCTGCGGGCGATGCATTGCGCTAAGCTTATACACCGGTGTCCTGATTCCTTGAGGCAAATAAACTCGGTGATCGCATCTCTGCGTATTTGTCATTCGCAATAAAATAGGCATCTTGATCGCTGTTTGCTATTTGATAAGTTAATCCACGGGCCACGGGGTACATTTTTGCGCCTCCCTTACGGTGTTTCGTAATTACGAGTATATTTGAAGCGCCAACTACAGGGTGCCCCAGAAGTCTTTAAGGCACTTGGTCACGTGTTACTCGCAATTCGCATGCGCATTGCGCACGCATGAAAATAAATAATTTCGCCATTTATAAGTTAACTACATAAATCAAAGTTTTTTTAGGTGTGTCATTTGCGCCAGGCTGTCATATCTCCAAACCCCATATAAATATTGCGTCGAGTCAAAGGAATGAACTGGACTGTTTCCTATGACGCGCTCGAGCAGTCGAGTTTTATTTTCGAAATGGGTATCATGTGTATGCAGCCCAAAGGGCTTTCCAACAAATAAACCATTCTGCTGCTAATGCACCCTCGGGTAATGCAGTACGCCGTTTCGTTGTACGCTTCAGCGAAGAAGGCTCTATAGCCGATGAAGAGGGTCATGGGCCATGGCAACACCGACGTGTCGCTAATCAGAACTAATCAGAGGGCGGAGGAGCCAGCGTGGTCTCTGGCGCTCGTTCTCTGTGAGACTCACAAGTCACAACGTCGGCCACCTGACTGACGTGGTATTCCACGAATAAAAATACAAAACTTCCGTTCATTCCCTTTCGTTTGAGGCATCGTTTGTCTTAATCGGTGGCATAGTATACGGACACACGACAAAAATAAAGAAGCTCCAAGACTTAGAGCACACCATAGGTAGCACACCTGATGATATGCTCAAGTGTCAAATCGATGAAAACATGCTTTCATCCATGTTTATAGGTGCATTTTAGATACGTTCATTCTAAAGAGCACGGATACACTAATTTACATTTTTTATGGGATTAGGCCATTTAACTTTTAAAGGTCAAATGCTTTTATATAGACGATTTTCGGCACCTGAGAGACCGTGACCTGACCATCGTGTGAGGTCAACACCCTAATGCGACCTGTCCCAATAAAAAACATATCATTCATCGTGCCTGAGCATTGTGTGAAAGAGTAATTAAATTTCTTCGAGTCTTTGCAAATCGTTGAATGAATCTAATCAAAGAGTCATTACACGAAGCGTTCGCCAATAAAAACGATCACTGCGTGAGAGTTGATCCCATAACGGGTCCCAAGAGCGTGATCTAGGCTGTCCAATAGATACAGGTTATGCTACATTAGGTGCAAAAGTAAAACAGACAGCCTTATTATTTCCCCTTGGACGCGTGGCCGGAAGTGCTCGCAACTTACCTGTATCTAATTAATAACCGAGATATATGGTACATGAGGCTTTATTGAATGCCGACCTTCTGGGGCTATGCTTTTCCCACGAGGTTTTCCGGCAGTGGGCATTAGGCACCACCGCTGATAAATCACGAACCTCTGTAAAGTTATCCCAGGACATGGGCGAATCCAGAATGGTTATAGCAGACGGTACGGGGGGCGGCATACCTCTCGAAAGTTTCTCCAAATTTCAGAAACTCCTCGTATTTCGATGGGCTTTAACGGTTAGCCACTGCTGTGAAAATTAAAGCAAATTTTCGCATAAAAATTGTTGAATTTCTTTCTATCCTATACATTATAAAACGACAAATATTCATCCATTCCGAGCGCTGTGAGGGGGCAGTTACCCCAAATGCCCTCCCACTCCTTGGATCCGCCAGTGTCCCATGAGGGGCAGGGCAAGGGGCTGATGCCACATCGGGTCGTATTTTAGTGATCGTCCAAAAGCAAGCTGCAGATGCAGGTAGAGTGTTGAGAAAGCAGCAAGCTATCGAGCCCTCACAACTTATATATCGAATTGTTGTATGTATTGGGACCAATCTGGATTGATCAAGTTATCTTCAGAGGTTATTGTACCTACTTCGACAAGCTATTTGAAACCGTTTGAAGCCGTTTGACTAGACCCTTTTGAAACTGCCTAGGTCGTTTCCAAACGGCCTAATATTTCAGGCGGTTTGAAAACGGTCGGTGCTTTCAGGCGGTTTTCAAACGGCGTGACTCGGCTGGGCCGTTTGCAAACGCACGGAGTTTTCATACCACCTGTAACATATGCATTACAATATCCAGCATTTCTTCCTTTCCTGTCCTCTGTAGGTCAACTGCTTCACCTGAGGTCAAAATGGTGCAAATATGTTGGAAAGAACATTCAAAAAGCTGTCGATTTTAGGTAGAAGGTCGCTTTTAAACAACCCTCTACCTCTTTTTGTTGCTGGCGTACAAGGTCGGATATTGTCGGCCACAGTCGGGAAGTCATAAATTGTGACCTTTGATGACCTCCAGTGGCCTCAGGATTGACCTGAGCAAAAAAAATGATCCAGACCAATTCTAAGTTTATTGTTGAGCGCTATCGAATACTTTTTCCGCGTCTTTCTATCTTTCTTACTTCTCGAGATAACAGGTGTGGCCATTTGAGTCCCCCCCCCCCCTCCCACCACCATGGCAAATTTGGGTGAGAGGCCCACCTGGGCGCGGGCTAAGTCAAATAATACAGCAACGAGTAGTATCAAAATGAAAATTGTCCTCCTAGATTAAAGTTATTGAGCTCAACGTAAAGCTATACAGTTCACCTCTCCTCCCCCCCCCCCACTTCGTGTGAAGTAGTACTGAGAACCATACATTGGCGTCGAAGGCATCCACAAACACAACGATGTCCAGAAATTCAGATAATGTATTCGATACATGTTATTTCAAAACGTGAATGCGAAAGAACAATCGATAATCCAGCAAAAACAATTACAGATTGTCAAATAACGTAGTTTATTCAATCCTGAACAAAGAATATGAACCACCAAGTGCTCAATCATCAAGCGGCCCACAGTAGCGACCACCAGCCGTCTAACATAGTCGCAACCGCGGGCACTTGGAGGGCGAATCACAGAGTCGTTTGGAGCGGGCCAGTCGCGCGGGCCGCCGACCGGCCGCGGTGCTACCAGCCTCGTGCCCCACAGGGGACGCTCCCGCGGCAGGTCGGCGGACTGAGCAGACATGCAGTGTCGCACTAGGGCTCTACATTCATGTATACATGCGACGGATGCGTCATACATTTGTCTGGACGGCCGCCAGCCTCTCGTTGCAAACGATAAGGTTTGTAGATGGCTTTGAAAAGAAAGGCAGTCCGCAAAAAAAAATCAAATCGGAACATTAACCTTATCGAGTAACGAGTGCTCTCATCGACTTCAGTGTGGAATCGATGTTTTCGAAACCTATATTGCTATGGAAAACATATATGTATAATCCTAGTGATACGACACGAATAAACATAACGGTGGGCAGCTCAATCTCAATCGGTGAGCATCTCACGAGAATGAATTTTAACAATACATCAGAACAATGAAAGTGATAAAGACCGGTTGCGATAACTATTGATAAAAATAGAAGAATACCTTAGGCACTCGCTCGCCACTGTCATTCGATTCTCCATACAGACCGCATTACTGGAAACGAGTCAACACTTCAAAGCAACGAACGATGATCATATTCATTCATATTCATGAACCTTGCGTTGACAACAATTAGTAAAATCGAAGCGAAGTAGTAAAACTCAAGGTTACGGACGTAAGACTCGGAGTGAATATGGTCCTAAATCGACTCTGGACTATTGGTCTCGCGGGAGGTAATCTTAGTTGTTCATCACTTTTGCACTCGTGCCATTCGCATTCATTTCTTAGAAACAGCACTCTGAACGTTTAGGTGGACTCAGACGCAAGAAATTTAGTTACCTGTGCAGCTATTTCTAATGAACCTGAGATTATTGCCGTGAACATAAATATTATCATTCATTTGTGTTATTTATCTTTTTTTTACATTCTTTCGTCTGAAAATGGGATCAGTTCATCATAGAAAGCCATCTTCTTTTGCGGCCTGATTCGAACCATCGATATCTTCGGTTGTCAATTTCTATCAAAGTCCTCCTGGTCAATCGCATCTCTCCCCTTGGCTGCTGTTTAGCCTCTGTCAGCCGACTGCCACCGTCTACGAGGCAGGTCTCCAGCTGCGCGTGCTCCTGAACTTGGCACCCTCGCAGCTGGCTCTGGAGGAGTCGCAGACGGCGCACTTGCACGAGACGGCGTCTACGTACTGGTAGTCGGCCGTGCCCTCGGCCACGCCTGGATCACAGTGGGTCAGCGTGACAGAGCGCGTGGCGTTCCGGTCGTGGATGCAGACTGGGTGGTGGGAGCGCTTGTACGGGAACCGCCAGTCGGGCACCTGGGGAGGCGAGAACAGAGCGCGAGTTAGAGTGAGTGCAGGCCCGGGGGCCGTGGAGGAGTGCGAGGGGCAGACACTGGGCCAGACGGCAGTAGGTGCGGTTAGAGCGGCCCTCCGGCGGCCATTTTCGAGTAAGACCAAGTGACGACTCCTGGCTTTAGACGAAATCAAAACAATGCAGTCATTTACACCTCAATTGTGCTAGCCTCGATGCCAATTTTAAGTCTCGCTGGATTCTTGCCCGGAGATGGGAAAAGCTTGTGTCAAGCTATAGCTGTGGACCTTCGTGCGCGTGTCATGCCGATTGACACCGATGAACGAAAAACAGACTTTGGCATTTCACAGCTATTTGGAAGATTCATGTTTATTGTCTGCACCAAAATGTCACATTATGCCGAAAGCATGAGGTGAAGCTTGCATGTCATTTTATCTTCAGCGCCCCATTCTTTCACATTTCCGACTTCGGTCTTAAGTAAATTTGCATACGCTCGCCACGAACAGGGAGCTCACAATACGAGTACTATTACTGACTCAGCTCTTACTGGGTGCCAACCCGATTTAAAGTGCACCTCTAGAGGCCTACTCTTAATGTGATTAACGTCACATATTGACCCAGAAATCCGAAGGTGATCGACCAGTGGTAGAAATGTCCATGCCTACAAATCAATAAGGAGTAAATAGGGAAGAAAATCTGGAGGAGACACGTGCGTCAGTAAGGGGAATATAACCCAGCAATGTGTATCACGAATACCGTTCTGTACTGAATCACCGACGTCGTGAGAAAACGTCAAGGAAGAGGCGCGGCCAAGGCTAAACCACACGGCAGTCTACTGCCTGCGTCGGTAGGCTGACCCGCACAGCACCCTGCGATCGTAGGCTGTACCGCAATGCCTGAGAGTCGTCCGCGAGCTGATAATACACCATTATCCCGGCCGCGCCGGCTCACGCGTTCCTGGTTAGTTTTGGTTTCCAGGAGGTGGCCGGTCCCTGCGCCCGCCACAGGTGATCTCAGCGATGGCACGTGGTCGGAGACGGCCCGTCAACGGCCCACGGTTCACCGGATTAGACGAAGGCAGAGGCACAGCTCTTCACTTGGCCAGTCATGGCTAATCTGAACGGGCGGCCGTGAGGGACTCGTTGGCGGAGCGCGGATGGGCCCAGCACAGCGCCGTACGAGGTGAGAACCGTGAAATTTTAATGTGCGCCCGGCGTGGGAGACGCCCGTCAGGAGATGCCTGGTCGGTCGGCCGGTCGGAAGGTCCGTATGTCGGCTGTTGCGTGCTGCAGAGTCGGCGTAAGAGCGTGGGTCGTGTGTAGCGTAGAGAGCAAGCGAGCGAGAGGAGAGAGGGAGAGAGAGAGAGAGAGAGAGAGAGAGAGAGAGAAAGAGGAAAGAGAGAGGGAGAGAGAAGGGAAAGAAGATCAGATTCCTGGTGCCTGCTTTTTAGGTTATCGTATTGTCTTATTGTTAGCGGATCAGAATCACTTCAGTGTATTATCGCTATTGACTACATGAACTTCCTAGATTACGTTATTTGAATAAATTGAGGCATACACATTCTGGGAAATCTTTGGTTATGCGATGCCGTCAAGTCAATAATGTATAGCCTCCTGCCACGTCCATGTAGACGACCGGATGAGGCGGAAATCAGCTCACAAGGGGCGCTCATCAGCTTTCAGCAGTACCCTTTGATTGCACCTTGGAGCGTCCAGTGAGGTCGGGATTATATTACCCGAAAGAAATTCCCTCTAAGCTGGTGCACAAGGACATCATCAATGGCATTTATCAGTGACATCATTTTTAGACACCCGAGAGGTAGCAGGGGGATAGCCCTCACAGCAATGCGAACATAAAGGTTTTAAGGTTGAATGACACTTGGTTCTTTGCCTCTTAGCTGGAGCAATTCTATCGGTCCCCGCAGCCAATTCCTTTGACCAGAGCACGTAGGTATAATTGCTATGCAAATAAAAAATTATTCCACATAGGTGATCTAAGGCATCTAAAACAGCGATTTTTGAGACGTTTGTTTGGCAAGCTAATACGAGTCATTTGATGCTCTTATGATCAACTCAGGGCTGCGGAGTCGGAATCGGCGTCGGAATCGGAGTCGGTCGGAGTAGTTTTGTAATTGTTTTGTAAGTAAAACTGCGGGTTAGTTTTGCCCGGAGTCGGAGTTGGAGTGGCTAAAATCTTACCGAGTCCGACTCCGGAGTCGGAGTTAACACCGCATGGCTCAAAGTCATGCCTTACAGTTTACACCCGTTTACTTGACAACATTATGCTCACTGACCTTTCAAAATAAGATTATTTCGAAGCTAAGGCCATACCCGTTTTGGACAAGCATTTTCGTTGAAAAAAGCAGATGACTATAGCTGCGCCAAAACCTGCTTTTAATTTGCAAGCTATCTAAAAGTTAAGCTGCAATACGAGGCCAATGCTCGATTCAGGCAAGATAAAAACATCTTCGACATGAACTTTACTTTCATTATGTTACAACTTTAACACGCGCACTGCAGGGGGGTTGTTTTCAACCCCCCCCCCTCTGGTTTTTTCGCTGTAACTCAAAAACCAGTGAAGCTACGACTTTGAAACTTTGTATGGCTGTTCATCAAACAATTTTACAACACCTCTGAAAAAAATAGTGTTAGGTCATGCAAGGTCAGGTCACCAGGTCACGATAAGTGACCTCACCTCATAAAAAGTTTGACGCTGTGCTACATCCACACCATTTGACTGAATGCTATGAAACTTTCAGAAACATATAAGGAGACCATAAGGAACATTTTGTATATTTCGAAATTTTTATTTCTGTGACCTTAGGTCAGGTCACTTTTTGGGGCCCGGCATGCAATTTCGGACATAACTCGAGAAGTATGGCACATAGAAAGTAGAAACGTCATTCTTTCACTATCCCACTTATTTCATCAAGACGCGTCGATCAAGATGCAACTTGACCTAGTTTGGTCAATGTTTGACCTAACATGACCTCGATCTCAGGTCACCTGAGGTCACCAACGGGTTTTCTTCAATAACTTTTAATTGAATAGAGATAGAGACTCCGTTCGACGTTTATCGTGTTTGTCTCGTCAATGCGGATCGAATGATATGCAACATGACCTATTTCGGTCAGGTCATGACCTTGACCTGAGGTCAACTTTTGAACTTGACCTTTCGAGGTCATTACGAGCGAGCGAGCGCAACGAGCGAAGCGAGTCTTTTCAATATAACGGAAAAATCTCAGTATGAGCGGCCCGGCCCAGCCCGGCCGGCCCGGCCTGTAACGCTTTTGAGAGGCTTATATCTCAGCAACCGCTGGACCGATTGGCCTGCGGTCTTTTTTGCTGGGTAGCCCCATCCCTTCTACCCCGTAATTAACTACTTTTGATACATCTCAGTGACCGTCGTGGCACGTGCCACGTGAAAAGTCAAGGGTGTTCAAGCAGTTTTGCAAAAGTAATGATTTTGATAGGCCCATATCTCAGCAGCGGCTTGAGCGATTCTCTTGCGGTAATTTTTATAGGGTAGCTGCATCCCTTCTATAACAGGTCGGATACTCTTGCTCTATGTGAGTGACCCCCACTGCACGTGCAAAATACAAAAAGAAGAGGTGCCAAATTTGTTCCCATTTCAGTAACTCGGTAATTACTGGGGCGATTTCGCTGAAACTTGGCATACAGGTAGGCAACCACTAGGCAATGCATTCCTATGTGTTGCGGTTAGGGTGCTACTGCACGTGCGCACGTGCAGGGGGCGTTTCCAGATCTCGAGAACGGCTGGGCCGATTGCGCTCAAATTTGGTACACGGTTGGGGACCGGTTAGTAGGGTGCCGTGCAAAAGCCATTTTGGACCCCATTTGCACGTGCGCACGTGCAGAATGCCGCTTCCAGATCTCAGGAACGGCTGGGCCGATTGCGTTCAAATTTGGCACACCGCTAGCGACCGGTTAGAAGGGTGCTTTGCACAAGCCCGTTGGAAGTACCCTCTCGCCCTTCCGCACGTGCAGGGCTCACTATCTCGCTCGCTCGTTCTTCGCCCAAAAGGCGTTTTACTGGTATTATATACCATTCGATGCGCCTTGACGAGCTAAGAACGATGGTGTGTGAATTATTTCTCTATCTCTTTAGGAAGAAAATTTATTGCAGAAAAAGCATTTCCGGAAAATTTGCAATATTGATCTGACATTACATGACCTCTATAGGCTGAACCGTTGACCTTAGGTCAAATCTGAGGACAGCTTAGCGAAAGAGCGTTTCAACAGCTATCGAATGCTTTTTTCGCAACTTTCTAGCTCATCTAGTTCCCGAGATAAAGCGGGAAATATGGAGGGATGTCGAGATCGCTAAAAATCGCCACATTTTGAGTTTGGTGACCTCTGCTGACCTCGTTTTTGACCTGACCCAAAAATGATCTTTGTATTTCTTGTAGATCTCATCTCAACCTATCCAACGCCGTTTACCGCTTGTCGCTACGTTGCGCCGTTTTTGAGATCTCAGGGGGGGGAGGGGTGTTTTCAACCCCCCCCCCCTGCAGTTCGTGTTCGGCTCAGACCCGCTGCAGTGCGCGTGTTAAGGGCAACAGTGGCGGATCCAGGGGGGCATGGGGGCCATGCCCCCCCCCCTTGGGCCTCCCGGGGGGCACCATCACGGAGTTTTTTTTTTTTAATTCATCACTTAGGTCACCGACGGGAGCTTCAACCCAGAGGTCTCCTAAGGGGGCACCATACAGAAGATCTATCGGAATAGGGTACCGTTTTTGGGGTCTCCCGGAGGCCCATTTCTGTCCCTCGCCTCGGGTGGGGCTATTTCCATCCCGAGGTCCGCGGGGGCACCATCTCGAGCTCTCCGGGGGCACTATCCCGAGTTCTCCGTGGGCACCATCCCAAGGTCGGAGGGGGCACCATCTCGAGGGTCCGGGGGCACCATCCCGAGGTCTCCGGTGGCACCATCGTGGACTTTTTAGGGGGCACCAAATGCCAGGGGGCACCACAATACCGTATCCCCCCTTGGCGAAATCCTGGATCCGCCACTGAATGGCAATGTCCGGAGTAGGAGCTGGAGTTGGAGTCGGAGTCGATCTTTTGAGTCGGAGTCGAAAGTCACAAAAAACCGTCGAGTCCGCAGCCCTGGTCAACATAGCGTTCTTAGCGTTCCTAGCCATAATCATGAGTCACTCGCTTGAAAATAAAATCACTGAAAAAATTGTTCTGCACAGATGTGATTTCACGTGGGCGATCTTAGGGGGTATCGTCTCCCATTAATGATCCCCCCGGCCCGGCGAGTGTAGCGGTGAGCAGCGGTCCGGCGCGATAACTGCAGGCTTAACCCTATATTAGTGGCAGGGGGGGTTGTTTTCATGATTCATCCACCCCTCAGGTTTTTCGGGAATATCTCCGAAACCGCTGAAGCTACGATGCTGAAATTTTCTGACTTTTCCTAAAACTAAATTGGGCACATTCCCTGAAAATTTCAAGTTCATAACTTTACCAGGGGCGGCTCCAGAGGACTGGGAATTGGGGGGGTCCTATTCGTGAAGCGAGTCATTTGGGCGAAGATCACGATGCTGATGTATTATAACTGTATGCACCAGTTTTACGAACAGTGAATGAAAGGTATCATGTGATAACATATACAAAGTTATTGTGCATCCTCTTTTGACACGTTTTTGCTATAATAGGCGGATCCAGGCGTCCAAAAGGGGGGGGGGGGGGTTATGTTTTACCTCCCAACATAGGTGCCCTGACACCGCCTATGCATGACCAATACAATTTTAGTCGTTCTCTCATAAGAAAATTGTAACATAACAAGACCATTACCACCCTTTTTAGAAACAGTACCAACAAAAACCTTATTTACTATACTTTTTGTGTACCCCCAATCTCAATGATCTGTATCCGCCTATGATTTTTGAAAATGCATATTTTTAGGATCCATGTGAATTCCTGGTTCATTCTCTATCGATCGGCAAAAGTTGCGTTAAGATTGGTTCAGAAACCTGGCCGTGATAAACCAGTGGCGGATCCAGGGGGGGGGGCAAAATGGGCATTTGCCCCCCCCCCCAAACGGCATAATTTTAACATTACGCCTATGGACGATGCATGGAAAGAATCGATAAATTGTTATGGTTTGCCCCCCCCCCCCAAACCTCTGAGCTGGATCCGCCTCTGTGATAAACAGTCTAAAATGTATCTGCAATTTGCCCGTTTTTACCCCCCTCTATTGACATTTAATTTTTATTTTTTAGAAATGTAGATCACGTTGAGCGAAATCGAATGCCGTTTGAATTTTGAAAATCGGGCCGTTAGATCTAGAGATATCAGGGGGGGTCGTAAACAGCCCCCCCCCCCTGCCACTAATAGGGGTAGCCAGGAGCCTGCCACTAATAGGGTCAAACTATGCATTTCTTTTTAATGTCGAACCTGGCACACAGTACAGATAGAGTTAAAAAAGATTGTGCTTCTCATCAGCCGAGTCGAATGCTAAGGGACATGAAACAATAAGGTGAGCTAAATCCTCGCCAGACCTATTGAATTTCTATATAAGCCCCGGCCGAGAGGGGGGGACGACCCCCACGCCGTCTCACCCCTTATTGAGCTAGAGCCACGAAAAACAGCGTGGGTGCCCTGACGAGACGAAGCGACTGGTACCCGATTTTAAGATTTCAGGCCAACCGGTGACCTCTGAGGTCATGTCAAGCGCCCCAAGATACCGTTTCGGTTTTTGGTACCTAAATAATTTCACCAAAAATGGTCGCAGATCCACGATCTTAGTTCCAATCCATCGTGTTCGCCATGCTCAGGCGCGTCGAATGGCTTATTTTTGTTTAGGTGAGGTCAGCTTACCAAGCACAAAGTCGTCCTACTTGGTTTTCTTAAGCAAATCTTGAAATGTCGGGCATGTCATTCTGGTGGGGGTGACGGTTGGAGCTCCAAAAAGGCCTTTAACCCCACACCGAGGTCCGCAGTCCTCGGCACCAGTATGCCATCCTCGACATTTCGAGCATTTGCCTCATTTACTGTGGACCAAAAACATCAGGTGTGCGTCCTGAAAACGGATTTAGGCACCATTTGGTCCACCTGAGGACATATCCTCATCATCATGTATATATGTATATAGACACAAGCTAAAGCGACGAAAACACATTGGATGTGTTCAGCCAGGCAGCGATGCGATTGGAGCATTGTGTGATAGGAGGGGCAATGGGCATTCCACGTCAGAGAGCCAGCTTATGTTCATTAGTCTTCAGCTGCGATCTGTAGCTCTTTAGTATTAGACGCTCTGTTAACCGTCACTCAAACGCACAGAATGCACGCGCATTCCGAAAAGCAAAGGTTGTTGACGCATTAGTCGTCCTTCATCACACTGTTATGCTTGCGGCAAAGCCAGAGTAAAAATACCATCTCACTTTAGATGACGTGACCCAGACATCTCACCCCGAGTGACAATGATCCGTCTCACTCACTCCGAGTGACCGACAGCGACCCCGATATCTCACCCCGAGTGACCGACAGCGACCCCGATATCTCACCTCGAGTGACTAGCAGTGACCCAGATATCTCACCTCGTGTGACCGGCAGTGACCCCAGTCTCACTCACCTCGTGTGACCTGCAGTGACCCCAGCAGGTCATGACCCGGATCTGGTCCCAACAGGCGCGGCCCGCCCCGTCACGCTGCATCACGCTGAACGAGAAGTCCGGCCGCGGCTGACAAGGAGTCGCGTCACTGGCCAGGTCGGCCAGCAGGGGCGTCTGCCCGACGACCGGCCGCGCAGCTGCCACCAGGAGCGCCATCCCCGCCACGAGGAGCAGCAGCGGCGGAGGCGGCGGCGGCAGCGCCCGGCGGTGGTCCCGGCAGCGCGGACCCGTCGCCATCGCGGCCAGAGTCGACCTCGACGCGACGATCGCACGGCTATAACGGCCACCTTGCCGCCCACAGCCGACGTCACAGCTGGCTCGGCCAATCAGCGGCCGGCGCACGGTGAGGTCATCAGAGAGCAGCGCCAATCGGCGGCCGGCGGAGCACGAGCTGCCTCCTGTCAGGCACGGTCAGCGATCAGCTCCCACGCGGGGTCTCTGAAGGCTATGCGACACCTCACAGGTTAAAGTACCACGAACAGTACCGTCAAACATCTCTCACCGTGCTCAATGGGTTTGTATTTAACTGGGCTCTGTCCGCCCTCAAATAAGGCGGGCGATGAACGTGTTGTAAAGATGTATCAATCCAACCGGACTGTCAAGGCTCCGGGTCCATGCACCGGCAAAGGGAACGTATAAAAATATCGCCGTCGACAGCTGAGAACGAAACGCAGGGCGCACGGCCACCACACGGGCCCGGCCAGTACGGCAGCGGGTGAAACTTAGACTGTACACTACCAACCACACCGCCAACAGCCGTACGGCAACGGCAACAGACACCGGCTCGCACACAGACAGACAACTGTACAGCGAGCGCGCTCACACACAGGTAACATATCTAAAACGGCACCGACGCCGCACGTCGCGCCACCGAACAACCACTCGCGACCCTCGGTATTGTCACTGGGCGTCACGGCGCCCGTCACGGGTCGAACATCACGCGGAGTCACGGCGCCACCACAGTCCTAATGTCACGGCAATCGTCACGGGCCCGATGTCCCAGCGCCGGTCGTGCGTCCGCCGTCCGGTCGCGGCGAGTCCCAGCCAGTCGGCAGTTTGTACTGGTGCGCGGCGCGCTCAGAACCGGGCGCGGATGTAGACAGCCGACACGTCATGGTCGCCGTAGCCCACCCGCTTGGCATGCTTGAACATCTCGTTGGCGGCGGCCGTCAGGGGCAACGGCTGCTCCAGCTGGTCCGACATGGTCAGCGACAGCTTCAGGTCCTTCTGCATGTGCTTCAGCGCCATCTGCGTCTGGAAGCCGCCCTCGATGATGGCTGCCGAAGAGAAGACACGGCGTTATAACGGGGGCGGACACAAACACGCAGGATCTCTCTCAATTCGTACACACGCACGTGTTCTATTTTCTCGGTTGGTGTTCTAACTGAGCATGTTTATATGAACAACCGGCGGATGAATTAACTGGATCAACAAATGGGAGAAGTTCGATGACAAATGTAAAGTATCCATGACAGTTCGATAACGACAACTCAAGAAACTCAAGATTACAAAACGATATTTATTTTTTAAAAAATAACTTTTAAAATACGACAAGCTTTCGGTCACATACGACCTTGATCACTGTGTTCAACAATGTTTCACAATCATACAAACACCGAAAAAAATGATACAAAAATCGGAGGCTCGATGGTAACAAAAAATACAATGTTCGATGATGACATTGATAAGTATGACGGAAACAAAAGGTAATGGGTGAACAGTAACTGTCCACTCCTTATTCCGTTTCCAGCAGACCTTCCTGATCAACGCCGATTATATACACAGACTGCTCACTCCACCTCTTTAGCTCCGACCACTCGCTGGGCTCCCGGTCCAACACCTACCCTCCCCGGTCGGCGTCACTCACCTCTGCCCTTTTCGAGCAGCAGCGGACAGGCCAGTGTGGTGAGACCGAGCACCTCCAGAACGTCCTTCTGCTGCAGGCCGGAGCGGTCGGCCAGCGCCATACCCTCGGCCAGGCCGGCCATCGAGACGCCCGTCATCAGCTGCAGCACCAGATTCATCTTGGACGCGTTGCCCACCTCACCTGAGACACACGAGATGGGGACATAGACCGGTTATTAAAAGGCCAGACACTGCCGAATGGGGCAAACTTCGGCCCCATACTAACCCATACTAATTTTTCGCTGTACCAAATATAATAGAACATAGGTCACACATAATAAACAAGACAATGTATGTAGATATTCTCCAATGCAACCATCAAACAGAGTAACTATGTGATGATATGCGAGACGAGAAGGAAGTGCAACGAAGGGGCCCAAGTAAGTGACATGTTTAGTGTTCTAATGAAAGTGGTAAATGCCTATTATATCCCTTTTTCAGGTTATCAACAAAGCCACGACCGCAACGCCACGTAGTGAAAACTGAAAAGATGAACGGAGTGCTTCATATCTCATCTGGCAAATACATTAAAATTGTGCATTAAATTTGTTTTGTCAGATGTGATAGCCTTTTCGGGCTAGAAAATATCACAAACAAAAAATTATGCCCCTAAGGGAATAAATGAGAAAATAAGAATGTAATAAGTTGAACACTGCCCCAGCCGACTTCCACGCCCTCGGGGGATAAAAATGACGAATGACATTGTCTGTACCGGTATTAGAGCATTTCAATCCGTCTATAATTGGTACAAGACGCCGCGAAAGCCACCGGAACCCCTGCCGGTGGTCGAGTGATGACTTTTCGGTCGATTTGGGACGGCGTCGCGACGGTGGGAGGGGGAGGAACGGAGATGGGCCAGATGTCGCCCCCAGTCGGGTGACCCTCCCCCTCTCCTCCCCTCCATTGCTGGACGATCCAGTAACCACACATGATGACCTTCGCAAGACACACCAGTCACACACACTGTCACACCCACACAGTAAGGCACATGGCCCGCCAACCTTTTCAGTGATTCTCCCACATCCCTCACCGGCAGACAATGTGAGTTTATCCGAGAAATGGTCGCGGTCGGCAAACGCTGAACAAGATCGTCAGTGACACCGTGCTGGTAAAGTAAAGTAAAACGTAATCTGCATTGCTAGTGCCAAAACGTGAACCTACCGCTGCAATCTAATGTGCGTGGAGGATGTGCAGTTTAAGTCTGCTTTCCCGGTAAAATTCGATCCTCTAGCTCTAAGGATCTATCACAAAGATGAGATATCACTTCAAATGGCAACCGGTACCACAGTGGCGAACATCCGTTTGAAAAGCTCAACGATACGCACCGCGATGAAACTTTAAACAGACGAGATCCAAGAGAACGAACCACCTGTGTTAGCGGCAATTACATTAGCGTTGAGGCTCCTACCATCTCGGCCTACTGGGAAAACTGCGCAAATCATGCCTAACAGCGACAGCTCAGCTTCTGAATTTCTTTGTTTGACAGGTTCACATAAAATCATAAAAGAAGTTTTTCCGTCAATCCCGCTGAATTATGCATTATGCCTGCGCTCCTTGACGATAGCTGCTCCTTTACCACAAGACCGATAGCTGTGATTTGCCGATGTTAATTTCAAAGTCATTGTAACTTTGTCGTTAATAACAAAAGGAAAAGAATCATCATGTTTCAGTCCAGACTTAGGACGCGCTTTTTTAATGAGCAGTGACTAGCCGAAAGTTATGAGGGCAACGTTTATAATTATCAGTGATGTTTCCGTTGTCATACGAAGCATTTCCAAACGCCAGAAAAAGATTCTTACGTCGCCGCTGTCTTTTGTCTGACAAAACAAAGAACAAAGGGCCCAGCAACATACAATGCACTCATGCGTTGGTCACCCATCTTCCCCACACATTCATTGAATATTGATCAGAACCACAGCCCGCGGCGGATTTAGGGCAGTGGCGCAGAACAAGCCAGGAGCTTTGCTAGATTGTTCAAGCGAAGAGCTGCAGAGAACAGGTGCAGACGAAACACAATCATAGCAACCGAACTCGGCGACAAAGATCTACCAATTCATACTCGGCCTATTATTTGAGGTAAGGCCCACGCACTTTTTTTCTAGGAAGCAGATGGTGACCCAAGATTACTTTACTAATAATGGTTCCCAGTAAATCACAAAAAGCAACACTGTAAATTTAAACCGATGGCGATAAAAAGCTCAGAAATTAATGCCTACTGAGCGAGTGCAAACTGCACGTTACTGTCACTCACATGTTGTCCCAATTTGAATCATTCAGGCCGGGACAGCATGTAAGTAAATTCAAGACCAGTCACTCTCGCTGGCTGGCCCGAGTCGAATACTCTCACCTCACCACTCGGCACTCATCAACTATGAAAGGCTGTCTTCCGATTTTCACTATCCCAGGAATTTTTCCTGTGGAGAGGGCTGGACTCCCATGAACGACGAATGAATTACAAAGAATGACGGGACCGAGTCATCAACAAACTGACGAAAACATGGTCAAATATGCGTGAAAAGTTGAAAACCATCTCGGTTTCCAATGCATCATTTGTCACTAGGATCCTATGAACCGGCATAATGTTTTGTATGGTTAGGCTCTTTCAGTCTAGTTATTGTGGCATGAGATGAGAAGATTCGGGGAGATATTGAACTGAGTCAACCACTAGCTAATGCATCGCAGTAACTGATCTCAACCAGTTGCGACAAGAATGCCTCGGTACCCCTGAAGTGCAAGCTCCTCTTACATTTACACTCTTACATAACAGTATTTGTTGGTTTGTTTTGTTGTGTTAGGCCCTTCCGGTCTGACGAGACCATTGCCGGAAGAATGAAAGGAATTAGGGGGAGACATGGTCTGGGCAGACACCCCAGAGAGTCACCGGGGACAGGCCGTCCAAACGAACAGCCCGTCCAAATGGACAGGCCGACCAGCCCCCCAAGCACTCTCTGCACCCGGCTACGGGGTGCAGCTCCCTCGGGAGCTGCGGTGCCGCTCCAAGGGAGCAGCCCGCATGAGATAAAGTTGCCTGTCCAGCCCGGAGCGAGGGTTGCGGCGTGGAGGAGATGATTTGAATATCCTGAGGATGCAAACGACGGGACGGGTGTAGGTGGGGTATTTGCATGCTTGTTGCATGTTATATTTAGCTGGTGACCTACCGAGATAGAAGGAGTTTTTGCCGACGGCTTGGAAGCACGACTGGCAGTCGTCGAAGAGGGAGCGGTCGCCGGCAGCCAGCAGCACCAAGGTACCCTCCTCGGCCTGCTGTTTGCTGCCCTGCACCTGCGCCTCCATGTACCGGCCGCCCTTGGCACCTATCGCCTGCAACACAGAGACATCTGGTGAGCGAACACACAACTACAGCCACAGCGCGACGCCACCAGGCGATAAATGTAAACAGAACGACGGTACAAACTTACAAAGACAACGAGCAATGTCTATAAACAGACAAAAATTTGAAAAGGCAATACGAAACTTAACTCAAGAAAGACGTTGGAAGCTGATCATTTTATGTGGAGAGATGTACGTTCATCGAGTCCAAGCATATTACGTTGAAATAAATCATCGATATGCAGCCGGCGAGCCAATCAGAGCTAAGAACCTTCTCAGTTCCGGCAGCAGTGACCAGACAGAGCCGATAACAGAGCCTGTCCCTACAGAGCATCTGTCTGTTCACACCGCTGTGCTGCCGAGATGAAGCGGTTCCCTGAACGGATCATATCGGTCGTTGAAAAGTGCAGTTTCAATTTCACCAGATCGGGCGGCAATGCACGGATCGGGCTCCCACTAACAGTTCACACCGCTGGCATTATACTGCTCCGTGAAACAACAATTAACTGAGGGGATGTGCAAAGGCGAGGAGATTACGGAAATTGTAAACGGATGACATACGTGGGCTAAAATAGACAGGCGACCACAGCCACTCGAGACTGTTTCAATACACAATTTTCAAATTTTCACGAGAGTTTACGACTAAATAGGAAATAAGCCGGCAATAACTGATAATACCGCGCTTTACTTGTAGCACCAAACCAAACAAAACATTTATAGCTGCTCAGTGCTCATCCAGGTTTTTTAGCGACGTTGCCCCTCCAAATTCCGTCCCGCCTCTACTCACATCGGCCAAGTCCTGCGAGGTTTCGGCATCAATGCCCGTCATTTCCACGTAGCCCTTGGTGGTAGTGATCTCCTGAAGTACGCCGCAGTTGCCGAATATAATCTGTAAATGATCGAGACAGTTCAGCAAGTGCTTCAACGACAGCAAGTTAGAACATTAAGGACGGGAGCAGCTCGTGGGAACATAATTTGTTAGATTCTGAAGATAGATGAAAAGTAGGTGCAAAATACAATAAAAAAAAAATTCGAGCAGAATTAAACACAATTTCCTGAAACATCAAAATCATAGTTAAAAACAACCAGAAGGTATGGGTAGGTAGAGTCACTTAATAAGCATAACTGTTGCTATCTGTGGTATAAGACAAGCTCAAAGCTTGCTCCTAAAACAAAGAGCATGCATCAACAAATGTTCCTCGTATACTCAAGACGATCACTCACGTCTTTGGCCACTTGTGGGTCGGAGACACAGCAGAATGTGACGTCAGCGGCACTGATGACGTCACTGGGAGTAAGGCCCCGCTCGGCGCCGGCCTTTACAAAGTCGTCACACTGAAAACAACATGAGCCGGTTATCAATGAGTAGGTACAGACATCACGACAGAAAAAGAATTAAAATCGAATGCTTCCAAAACTATTATAAAACTGAGGAGCTGGCAAAAACATTTTTTTCGTAAATGTTTATGCTTAGATCTATTCAGCTCAGAGATGCAAAACAGACCAGTTCGATGGCCATCCCATGCGCGTAGGTAGTTCGTTTTTGCAACCAAGGTGATATGTGAAAGGCAAAACGGCAGTCAAATGAAACATAAAGCGTTCATAAAAAACAATGCATACATATTTCTATATCATAATGATTACTAAAATATCCCGCTCTCCGCTCCGCACGGCAACTGCCAAATTGAAAACAAGTACCAAGTACAGTACTTATTTCCCATCACTATAATCCTTCAGCGACAGCGCCATCTATGCCGCACCTGAGACCATCGCGACGCACAAATGCGAGCGTGTGTGCACTTGCAGCGTTTCCGATAGTTATTTGGTGCGGTGGTATTCGGAGGGATATATTATTTGTAACATATTTAAAATATCAGCAATGAAAAGCACGATTTTTCTCCTATAACCAGTGTAGACTCAGTGATTTACTGGTAAAGGATAGGTAAGGCAGCACAGTATCTGAGCAGACAATCCAGAATGTAAGTGACCCAACGCTTGAGTGTCCTTGTCCTCTGCTATTAATTATTATGCTCATGCTCCGATGTTCACCTGATGCTTACATACCTATCATGCCTACCTGTCATGCCCACTTCCTAAAACCACATGATAATGTAGTGAAAATAATGAGCTATTGCATGTGAATGTAATACGACACCCTGGAGTTTGGGGCCAAGGAGGGTAGGATATCAATGTTCTACATCTTTATTTCTGATGTATCAATATTCATTAAACAGGGCTATCTATGACATTGAACAATTAGTGTAGCTCTGCGTTAAAACTGTCATCTTCAACATTGGGCTATCAAAGCTGGGTAGGTTATGCAAGGGCATAGTTTATGTCAATGACAGTTTCCTTGAAATATGCAAAGGATAAAACTTGCCAAATATCCATTAGAATCCATGCAAGAATGTTAAACATGTGTTTTTCAGTGATACTTAATTCTTCTGCTCTTATATCAAAATGCTAAAAATTGCTAGTCTTCTTCAAACATTCAGGGATAGATCAAAAGATACATGACCAAAAACCCATTACCAGTGTAATATTGTCACCTTAAGAAATAATACTGTTTGCTCTTGATCATTTGTAAATTTTAAGGAGACTTGGGTGGTTATTAAAAATATGAATTCAGCTATAAGTCACCAAACTGTAATATGACATTTTATAATGACATTTTTAAGGACATCATTTAGTCTTTCAATTCCTGAAAACCTGATACAAATGTTTGTGTATTGAAAAGAAGTGTCTAAATGAATGGCTATTAGATGACACATAAACAAATCAGTTTTATCATATATCTTAGGGGGTACATGGTAAACAAGTCAACAGATCTTATCACATAAATTAGACTTTAGTGTAAGTAGCGCGCCAAAAATAGGTGCGAAGAGAGTGCATATGCTTCGACATTTATTATCCATGTGTAAGGGGAAATGTGTCAACCATGAAACATGTGGCCCACATTTTCAAACCTCAGTAAAACAAAATGATAAAGGCACTAGAATATAACAGAAATGAATACGAGATGCCAGATAAAAGACATAATTATTTAAAGAACTTTGCATCAGCGACAAGTTTTGATTTTTTGTGAATGAATGTGTCACAAATGTCTGGCGTCCCTCTGATTGTGACACGAGGAAACGCCTTGTGAAACATTCCCAGAGGATCCGAGCGAGGACCTTCCGGGCAACTAATACAGCCGTACTGTCTTTCACAGCTCGACCCGGCGGACCTCCAGCAGCTGACCAGGGCGCCACCCCGCTGCGGACCGGAGCGCCGGGCTGAACCTGCCGCGGCGGCTCGCCGCCCTCACTGCCACAAACCATGGCCACAGAGACGGACATCGCCACGGAGGTGTCCCACTTCGAGTCGCTGCCGGCCGAGGCCTGGCTGGTGCGCTCCTGCGAGCAGTTCGAGGCCGAACTGAAGGAGTGCCGCCGACCCAAGGGCCGCTTCCACCAGTACTTCATCCACGGCGAGCTGGCCGACTGCTCCCAGTGGCGCGAGGACGTGGCCAACTGCTACCGCTGGCGGCGCAAGGCCGACCCGGAGGCCATGGCCGCGCTGGTCGAGAGCGAGCGCGCGCGGCGGGACGCCCGGCTGGCGGCGCACCGTGCCAACACCGTCTGGGAGTCGCGGCCGGCGCCGCCCGACGGCTGGAACGGCCCGCTGCCCGAGCACCTCGAGCGGAAGCGGCAGGACTCCTTCCTGCACCGTATGCAGACTGAGGACGCGGCACGGGAGCGCGAGGGGAGTGAGGGCGCCGCCGCGCCGCCGCAGCCCCCAGAGACGCCGCAGCGTGCCCAGTGCGTGGTCCAGTAGTGCGGAGGTTTAGCCAAGTGTCGAGTGTGATGATTTAGCAAGTCAGGGAGGCCGGACATGGCACGTGCGATGCATCAATTAGTGGCGCGTACCCGGTACAGACTGTTGTGAAGCGGGGACCGACAGTGTGTTTTTATACGCAACGATGCTGATACGAGGTAATATATGTTCGTGGCGCTCGTTTCAAACACTCTAGGTAAGATCTATCATCGTGAAGCCGAATATCGCCGAGAATTTTGAACCTTGTTAGGATTGAATATCGCGGATAACTAACGACCGTAACAATAGGCATGGGTAGAATAGCTTAAGAAAATCAGATTGGCAAGACTCTGGACAAACGGGCAGCATCGGACAGAATATCACTAAAAGACATAAAATAATTGGTAAAATGGTTCAATATTCAACCTGAAACGTATTTCACTTCAGCAGAGGACGGGTTAACGTTGACATTATAATTGTCGATACGACGCAACCTCATCCACTGACAACGCATTGTCGTCGCCGGTCGGTCCCTGAAACCAGCAAGCAAGACCTCAGGCTGATTTGAGTGAAGATGCCTAGCATCACAACACCCCAGGAAGAAAACTTTTTACGTTTGCAGGCATTCCTCAGGAATTTAACGAATTTAGCGCTTTATTGCTTGTAATATAAACATCCTGGATCGCTGATGTAATGCCCAGAAATAACTTTTCCACCCTGAATTTCCTTCCAAAAGATCAAGCCGAGATTCATTCATAGCTATCAGTTTACGAAACATAAACGACATGAAATCATAGTTTAGCAGCGGCAAGAAACTAGCAACTCAACATAGTTAAGGCCCGGCTACACCATGCGTTTTTTGCGTGCGTTTTTTTGTGGGTTTGCGGGCTTTGCGTAATATCGTTCTAGAAAAATAAACGATATTACGGTTTTGTGATGCTTTTTGCAATAAATTTTTGTTAATATAAGAGTTACATTAACTTCTGTATATAACTAATGTAAAAGTTATATTATTTATAACGTTTTTTCTAGACCGATATTACGCAAAAAAAAACGCACGCAAAAAAAAACGCATAGTGCAGCCAGGCCTTTCCTGACATAAAGAGCGCCATCTACTTCCCCTAAACAAGTATCGGCACGCCCGTCATCGAACGGGAAAGGCACTAGCGGTCACTACTCACAGTGATACATGACTTATCCCGTACCCTGTTTGTTTGTTTATTAGGGCTTTAGGGCGCGCCGACTGCGGTGGTTTGCGCCCAGTATCCCTTGCCCGGCGCACCCCACTCCTCCCCCCGCTGCAGCTGAAAGCGCACTCTCACCTTGTCTGAGGAGCGGTTCCATACGTGCACCTTGTGGCCCGAGTTCAGCAGGTTCTTGACGATGCCGGAGCCCATGACGCCCAGGCCGAGCACGCCGAAGCGCAGCTCGGATGGCTGGATGTTTTTCTGCTTCAGCGCCGCCGAGACCTGCTCCACGTCCAGCGGCGGCGTCTCCTACGAACGGGGTGCAATGAGTCAGAGTCAGAGATCTACGCACTGCTACTGCTCTCCTGTTGTTTACGGTATTGTGTGAAATGGTCGCGTCGCTCGAAATCGCCTTTTTCTGTCGTTGAAAAGTTTTCATGTAGAAACATTTTGGCCAATTATCATTATCCAATCGAGTTGAAAACACCATGAATTCGTTCGAGTACATTAACGGTGAAACACGTAACGTAAGCCAAACCGATCATCGCGGTACATTTAGCTAAAAAGGCACGCCAGTGCTCAAGAAACAAAATATTGAAAGTTATTTTTAGCTTAGCATAAAGCATGTGCTCTATATTTCACGAAAAAAAAAAACAAAAAAAAAGAGGCATCAGTCAGAAGATCAAACCTCAAGACGTGGCTGCAACGTCACATTTCATCCCGATCCTCCCTCCCCTCCCTAAAATCTCGCCCCGCCCGTTCCCCGACCAGACGCCTCCACCTCACCCCGGTACACACCCTCCCTTCCCTAACTCCCGTCCACCCCCCCCCCCCCCCCGCCCGCCCCGGACGTACCGGCCTCATGACGAGCGTGGGTCGGTCGAGCAGCGAGGCCACCCGCTTGGTGCCGGCCGTGCTGCTCGGTGCTGAACTGTGGTTGATGAGGGAAGTGAACGCGTCGCTCTCGTCATCGGTCTCCTTGGAGCGCTTGGCCGGACTGGGCGCCGGCGAAATGGTGGCCTCCGAGGCGATCCGCTTGACGGCCGGCTTCTTGTCCTGGTGAGCGGGCACCGTCAGCGGAGTGGGACAGCAGCGGCGGTCAGCGATCACAGCGCGAGGAAGGAACGGCAGTTGGCAAAAGTGATATGTTATAAACTTATTCAGCAATGGAATAACTGAATGTAAAAACGGCACACACATTCTTTGATAGCATAAGTAAATACAGAAAATGGCAAAGTCAACTCATCAACCAGTAAGTAGTAACTTCGCACTACAATATTGTACTCGTATGTGTTAAGCCTCAGGAGTGAGCATTCATCTGAAAATATTTTCTAACAAAGTACAGGGTGAGCCATAAAGATTTACCCATCGAAAATTTAACTTTGTTTCAAGGCGCGCTGACATAGCTATGTCATTTTTTACGTCCATATAACAACGTCATCTCCTAACTAATAAATGTAGTCTGTTTTCTGTATGCTTGCATTCTTCTTATGTTACGCGCCCGAGACGCAAGAGCATGATGGCACGCGGCCGCCGCACTGTCTTTTCACTTATTTTCCTCGATTACCAATGCTATAACAATGCTGCGCCGTATGTCATTTGCGGTGTTTCAGGGACTCGGTAGAGTCGGGTTTTCAGGATATTTCAGTTTGCGAAGCCCGTGGGGCTGAAGTCGGGGATAAATTGTGCCCAGCATTCTTTAGACCAGGGAGTGTTCAGCAGCCAACACCCAGTGGTGATTCCTGAATTTCAGGAGCGGCGGATGTGCGTTAAGACGACCTCGCATTTCAGGAGCGTAGCAGAGACAGTGGACGAGCATATACAAAATGAGCTACACTGTCAGGATTGGAGACAAATTTGCGACATATATGCAAAAGATGGCATACCTACGCCAACCCGTTTGGAAATAAAGTGAATTTATCGATGGGTAAATCTTTATGGCTCACCCTGTACAAACATAGGCAAGAGGACATTCAGTTAACCATTGCTCAATCATCACGTTTCAAACATACCTTTGCTTCCTTGGGCTTCCTTTTCTTTGCGTTTTCGGCGCCGGGCCTATCGGGAGCCGTCTTGTTTGATGCCTTATTGGCTGCTTTGCTGTTTGCTTTGCTGGGCTTGCCGGTGGTTTTGGCGGTTTTGGAGGGCTTTTTCTCGCCGGCCGCGGGCAGCTCGTCGTCTGACTTGCTGCCTGATTCCGGCGAATCCGGCGCCGCCTCCTCGCCATTACCTTCAGGAGGGCTGTCATCCTCCTCCTGAGAGGCAACAACAAACGCCATCACTACTATGAAGTTTAAAGGTGGTAGCTAGCAAAATTACTTGAGAAAACGTTCCGAAGTATTCTGGTAATCAAAGCACAATATGTTTCTGCCGCCTTCAGGGTTTCAGGGTTTGTACAAATAACAAATTCGCCCTTTAATAATAGCTACCTGATATTCATTAGCTATACTGATGTCTCAGAACTAATTAATTTACCTTGTCTGGTCATCTATGAATGGCAACAAAGTCAAGCCAAAGGAAGACATGAAGTGTTAAGACTTGAGCTTAACACATAGGTACTTACAATTCCAAGTTCCCTCTTCCTGAGGTACTCATCAATCACAGACAATGCCTCCTTAAATTGATTTGACTTGTTGGCTTTGGTGAGCTTTTCTCTGTGTGGGATGAATGGTTTGATAAACTGTGTCTCGATGAATGCACTGAAAATCAAGAGAAATTGTGTTGACAATGAATATGGCAAACAAATGGATTCATAACATAAAAAACAATGATGCTCTGACTTGATATTTCAGCAGAATAAAAGCAAGACAAATTTCATGTGGGGCCAATTGTGACTACTTTCAAGCTTAGTCATGTTAAAGTGATGGCTGATGAAAGTCAACACAAGCTACACTCAATGGCCTCAATGCCATTAACTTAAACAATTGGGGTAGGGTTCTGTGATTCCATCTTATAAATAATTTTAGAAACAAGTCATGAAATATATAGCTTCAAACTCACTAGTTTTCTGTTCCAAAGAAATACACACAATAGCCCTTTTTCTTGGATGGAGTTTTCAAGTGATCTGGTGCAACAGCAATCTGGAAGAGAAAAAGAAATCATTTTCAGCAAAATTAAATATTAAAAGCCACTGCTATCTGTCACTTCACTTCATATGGCATCTGTTATTGATTTATGAGTACATATATTAAATATTTAGTCAGTGGTATTTAGTATTTACTGTGAATAGCACACACTGCAAACCCATTCATGTAATTGTCAGACACCATTCAAATACACGTTCCACGCAATGAGTAAAATTAACAGCATTATCATTTTTAAAGCTATTCATTTAGTGATATGCATACCTTTCCAGGCCATGGAGAAAAACCCTTCAGCTTGGCCCTGTACAGAAAAGACAAAAATAAACATGTTAGAAGTCCATCACATATTTACATATGTCTGGGGCATAGAATAACAAAAGGCACAAAAAAATTGCTTGGTGTGACAGTAGGATCTAAAAAGACACATAATTATCTACCCCTTAAATATTCTAACACAAATTCAAAACATGAAAAAGAAAAGCAACAAAGTGGTAACCACTAACCGGTACCAGTACCCACCTAACTATGTTTTAAAATTACCATTCATGCTATAAAAACATAGCTCTGCATAAGTAACCCTGCAACATAATTCCATTTAATAATTCAAGTCAAAGCCATTCCACCACGATTTTGTGGCATGTTTTGATGTATACGATACGAATCACAGCAAGGATTGCGGACCAAATTTCTATCCAAACAGTTCACTGTTCAGCATGTTATTTCAGCTTTTCTGATGTATTTCAAACTCTAAAATATTCATGGATTTATTACGGATGCTTGATATATAGCAGGATCATTCAAAAACTGGTCATATCACAAATTCTGAAGGCACAACTAGTATAACCACATATGTAACAAGGTCGCCATTGTTGCCTCAATCGACGTTGTCGCAAAATAACGGAGAGCTTTCAACGATTAATCGGCCACCAGGATTCAATAATGATCACATGTCATATTTAAAATATTTCAAACCGATCTCTAGGTGACATATTTTATAACTACATACCATACAGGGTCACCGACTGAGTAACCACCCTCCGCCATGTTTTGAGACAAGCAATTTGAACACAGTAGAGATGGTTCGAAGAGCAGCAACACATTTTTTGTTGGTACTTGCTTGACTGAACTCAAGAATCGAGGATTATTTCGCCTTTGTTTTTGCTGCTTAAACTGAAAAGAGGTCAAACAATAAAAAAATATTGCTTTCAAACATTCATAAGTATTTCTTTGACAGATATTAAGCCTTTCATTAGGGTGGAATGCTTGGTACGATGACAAGAGTAGCACGTTTCTCTATTTTAAAACCAACGCCGCAAAACAACGCCGATCTTTTGCGGCGAATTTGACAGTTTATTGTCTTCAGGGAGTTTTGTACGCGAGTCTCTCTCTTCAAGTTTTAATAATTTTAAATGAAGAGTGCATCATTTAGCATGCTTGTCTCCTTCAAGTTCTGAGTGGCTGGACTATCTTAAAATCCGTTCTTATCCACTGAGTTGCAGTTCAAGTTGTCATCACAGGCTGGAAGGTATTAGGTAGGTAGGTACCTACGAATTTTTATAGATATCAATATTCAATTTAATAAGCTTTTCCTGTAATCAATGTATCAAATGTCTATGGAAAGGTGACATGCCCTTTTTATTGCCATCTTTGCTGGGCTTCTGATGGCTATTTGAATTTTGTTACCTACCTACTTCAGTCGGGCGCACTAGGGTAATTCTGTTCCATATATAGAAACGTTTCTATATTTGGAAACGATGTTCCATATATAGAAACGCTTGTTCCAAATATGGAAACGCTGCGTTTCTATATTTGGAAACGGTAGGTGCACGCTCACCTGTTTGACGATCTTCGCAAGCTCTGGCGAAATTTCGCACAAAACGGTTACCACCAGTGACAAGCCAACATTTGAGTTTATAATCGCAAGGAGGCCCGAAGAAATCCATGGTGGCCCATGGTAATGACGACGATTTGATTTCCGGTTTGTATAAAATGTAGAAGAAATTGCGAATAAGAGAAAAACTTCCATTAAGGTTTCCCTTCAAATATGACGTCCAGAACCTGATTTGGGCTGATTTTTGGCAGAATATTGGCTAATTTGGGCTAAATAGATGTTTTAAGTTTTGGCGAAATTGACATGTCATTTTCACCTGAGTGCTTCCTTGTTGCCACTAGATGGCATTCCACCATCTAGAAAGTTATATAACGCATCTTGCTTTAAAATAAATCGTCCGGAAGGTTGGCGTTTCTATTTATGGAAAGAGCGTTTCTATATATGGAACAAAAAACATTTCAAATATAGAAACATTTCCAAATATAGAAACGTTTCTATATATGGAACAGAATTACCCTAGTGCGCCCGACTGACTTATTGCTAGAGTAGAGGACAAACCAATGGTCGCACAGCTGGTCCGAGCGACTTGTTTGTGCCGCTACTCCACAGCTGATAACAGAATTATGAAACTCATTCTTACCAGCTGAAACATTGTTACCAGGGGCACATATTTTATGTAATGATTTGTGGCAACGCATTTTACTGCCCCAACCTCACCAAATTGAAGTGTGATAAATATGAGTGATATCAATGTTTATAACATGTTCTATTGCAGTGTTTGCCTATCAATTATCAGCATTGTAAATTGAACCTGTTATTGGCATTTGCTTAGCAGTAACAAACACTTCTTGACTGTTTCATTGACCCACATCATTTTAAGGTTGCCTTTTGCTTTAGGTACAAGAAGACAATTTTTAGGCTCTCCTAGTCAGAATTTCTAGACCTTCATGTTAATGCATGCTGTCTGTTTCCGTCTGAGTGAGCAAAGAATGGTAAATGAATGGTTATCCATTGGATTTTTGGCTGGGACTTTGGTTTGAATGAACTGTTGAGTGTTGGTCAGGTGTCAGGTGGTGCAGAGCAGAGCAAGAGGCACATTGCCATGGCAGCTGGTTTCATGACATCTATCTACAGCTTAGGTCCTCATTAATCGCCTCAGCTAGTATCTGGGCACAGAAAACCCCAACTCATTGTATCTTTGACTCTTCAGAGGTGCCTCTAGGCATTAAACCCAATGCTGCATTACCCTATCTTATCTCAGTTTAAATTTCCAGATCCTGTTTGATGGAAAAAGTGAACATTCTCTCCTACCTTCCTGTGAACTTGACCTGCCTAACTTTTATTAAAATTTGGATGGCAATTGCCCTGCAGGGAACTTTTGTGTCTTGCTCAGGACATAAGGAACTTAATTGAAAGCTGATTTTTTAAATGTGATGTGTAAGTGTAATAATGCTAGTATGTCTATGGCTCAAAATTCTTATTCAGCAAACTTTAAGCTTCTACCAAGATATTTATATTGTTTATGAATGATACCTATGCAACTGGTTCCTTTTGTTGACTGTTCACTTCTTGTTGGGAATTGGCTGAACAGATTGATAGCTCAGTGATGGCCTTGTGGCGGGTGCGCCGCCACAATTTAGTCGCGGTATCCTTTTCCGTCCAAGTCGGGCGGTGGCGCAGGACGCGCCACAAACGTAGATGTAAGACAAAGGATCCGCCCCGTGTGTGGGACGCGTGCAGAGAGGCGTGCCGGGTTGTGCCGCTGAGTGCCACGAGTGTCCCGCGTACAAGAATAAAGATACACCGTTTGGCTGAGTTATCAATTATGGGTTGACGTGACGCTACCGAGAGAACCCGCAACAATGGTGGCAGCGGTGGGATTGGTTGGCTATTCTAAATTCAACTAAAATGTAAACAGAATCAAAGACTGAGAAAGAACGTCAACGTGAAAAGACAAAGAACAAAAATGGCCGAAAAAGACATCGGTTTGGACAAGTTTAATGGCACAAGCGCTAAAGAATGGACACTGTGGCTGGAAGATTATCGTATTTTTGGAGGACTGAAAAAGTGGAGTGAGGAAAAGCTTGTCACAAATTTGAGATTCTTTGTGTGTGGTGATGTGAAAGACTGTATCCGCCAAAAGTGCAGTGAAAATGTGCCCAAGGAACTGGATGAGATCGAAAAAGAAGTGGCTCGTTTTCTTGGAGGTTCTTTGGACCCAATCAGTGCCGTACACGAGCTTGACCAAATCATTTATGATGGGAGCGTGGAGAGAACGATGCTGAAAATCGGGGAGCTCATCCCCCTGGCTTACCCAACTCTGTCAACACAAAATGATAAACAACAGATGGTGCTCCTGCACCTCCACAAAATCCTCCCTGCAAATTATACCAGGGAATTGATTAAAGCTGGAACACAGAAGCTGGAAGAGGCGGTGACTGTCATTGGAGGGCTGGAGAGAGCTGACCGCTCTGTAGTACGACCGGCAGCCATAAACCAGGTGAAAGTTGGAGGGGAAACTTCAGAGCCAGTGAAGCAGTGCTACGTGTGTGGCATAACCAACCATGTCAAGGCCGAGTGCCCATTCAAAAGCGACATCTGTGGACATTGTGAGAAGAGGGGGCATCTCAGCACCATGTGCCGGAATAAGACCATGACTCGGGGAAACGGAAGAGGGCCTGCTCCCAGAGGAGGTCGGCAGGCCAAATTCAGCAGCTCTCGTCCAACCGGCCCCCCACAGGGCCAACCAGGTGTGATGATGCCTCCAGTGCCGACCTACCAGACCCACCAGGGACTGGGGGCGCCGATGTACGTCGGCCCACCTGTGCAGTACCAACAGCAGTGGAGCCAGCCACCTCCAGCCGGGGCGGGACAGCAGGCAGCTCCCCAGAAGTGAAATCACCTTCACCACTAGGCCAGGCGGTCAGCTTTGTCAGTGGCTTGACCAGAGAGGCGTAGCCACTGATGTGTCTCCGGAGGTAGCCACAGAGGCCCAGAAACACTCTCACCTCTTTTACGCTCGTCGGCGTTTTCCACTCCTGCACGATGCGAATCTTTTCAGGGTCGCATTCGATGCCTGCCGCGCTGATTTTGAATCCCAAGAACTGCACCTCCCGCTGGCAGAGCCTGAGTTTCCTCAGCGAGAGCGTGAGGCCTGCTCGGTGCAGCGCTGCCAGCACACGTTCCAGGTTGTCCCTCATCTCAGGGAGATCCTTGGACAGAATCAAGATGTCATCAAAATATTGCACGTAGATCTCGGGTGGCACACCTGCCAGGACCAGAGATAGGGCACGGTTGAACGTGTGGGGCAGGCCACAGAGACCGTACGGTGCCGTCACATACCGGTACAAGCCAAACTCAGTGGCGATCGTTGTCTTTTCTCTGTCAGCCTCCTGGACAGGGATCTGGTGGTAAGCCTGAACAAGGTCAATGGAGGTGAACCACACTGCCCCACTCAGCTTCTGCAAGCTTGAGTCAATCCTCGGGATCACCTGCACTGAGGGTGTCGTTACCTTGTTGACCTTTCTGAAATCACCACATATTCGAATCTGGCCGCCATGTGGTCGTTTGACGAGAACCAGAGGGCTGGCCCACTGGGACTGTGCGACAGGCTCGATGACTCCATCCTCCACCAACTCATCCAGCTGCTCTCTCACAAGTCCAGTCAGGTGCCCTGGGGTGGGTCGGGGGTTCTGGAATACTGGCCTGTTGTCACCTGTCGGAATTGTGTGTTGGGTAACTGTGGTGCGCCCTAGCCCTGAGAACAAATCCTGATATTTCAAGAGGAGATTCCTAAATTTTGACTTTTCCGGTTCATCTATATGAGTTACAGACTCCTCCACTGTGGTGGCTGAAGGCTCATCTACATCAATCATGAAGGCACTTTCATCACACTGTTCAAAATCTCCCACATGAGTGTCCTTATACACAGTCACATCCTGGTCTGTGGCATTGGACATACGCACTGGCACTGTGTTGTCGTGAAGCTGCACTGCCAGGCGTGCCACACACAGCTCTGTTCTGCTCACAAATCCTGCATCACTGTCTACTACACCAAACACATCTGAACACACATCAGGTACACTACAGGGACACTGGTTATTCAAAACAACTTTGCCAGGCAGGATGACCTCACTGCCTGCCTGCACTACAATAGTTTCCGACACCATCACACGACCTACCCGCAGGGTGCTAGTACTACCCATGTTCCCCTGAGTCTCTAGCTCGATACTGTCTCCCTGAATGATGATTGTTCCTTGGGACATGTCTACCACAGCCTTAGCCTCCCACAATACATCTATTCCCAGGAGACAGGGTTCACACAACGTATTCGCAACCAACACACAAACACTTTTCTTAAAACTACCAATTTCGCACGTGAGAACCACCTTACCTATTATATTTGAACAATGGGCGTTGTCAGCCAGTCTGACACTTTTCCCCATGGGAAGTAGGCGAATGTCCTCTGGCAACTGGTCCCGTCTCACTATCGTGCAATCTGCCCCAGTGTCCACCAGTGCCGAGCATCTCTCACCATTCAGTTTAACCTGTACATACCGGCCTGGTTGATGAGGTGAAGGTGATTTCACTTCTGGGGAGCTGCCTGCTGTCCCGCCCCGGCTGGAGGTGGCTGCCTCCAGTGCCGACCTACCAGACCCACCAGGGACTGGGGGCGCCGATGAAGTACGGAAGTTGTCAGCGCACTGGACAGGCCCGTATCGGGTGGTTGAAAAGCTCCGCAACTGGACTTACCGTATCACCAAAGAGGGCGGATCAGCGGAGGTCACCGTCCACCACAACAGGTTGAAACCCTGTCACTCGGATCCGGAGAAGCCTCGGGCAGCCGCCCCCGCTCCTCCCAGGGCCCCAGTAGGTGGACCACTGACGGCTGCTCCCGTCCCTCCCAGGCTCATGGTGGGCGAACGAGCCGCGGTGGATCAGCCGCGTAGCCCTCCAGGCGTGGACGGAGACAGCTCTCGTCTCACACAGAGTGCCGTCGGCTCGCCGCTGGTGAGGTTACCAGCCGAGTCAGGAGAAGGCGGTACCGAGACAAGAGAAAGTCCCGCTCGCCAAGCTCCGGAGAGTGTTGGCTCATCGCGGGCGAGGTTGCCCGCTGATGCCGGCGACGTTACAGCCGGCGAGGAAAATTCCAGATCAGGGTGCCCGGCGAGAGAGAGGTCGCCTGTCCAGCTAAATGACACGGGTTCTGGGACTCAGGATGAAGGAGAGGGAGTCTCCCCACAGAGACAGACACCCAGGGGTCACAGTCGGTCAGGCCGGACGCTCAGACAGCCGACCCACCTGCGAGATTTTGTCACAGAATATGTTAAGTGTTAGAGCAATAGTGACGGTGTATGTCACTTCGTGTGTCTGTCCTGTTGCCTCTTTATGACTTCGTTTGTTCGTCGCAGGGTTCTGGAATGGCATAACGATGGATTTACCGCTGTAGGCTACACTTAGGTTTTTGAGCTCCGAACCTAGGCGTGGCACACTTTGGTAAAACGGGCAGTGCCAGCGGGCTGATGTGTGTCATCCCCCGCCTTTAGGTCGTTTGTAATAACCATGCCTCCGTTCGAATGTCGCATTCAGTGGTAACCAGTAGGACAATGTCATGTTTGTGTGTGTGTGCGTGTTTGTTAGTGCCACATAGTGACGGCGTAGCGTGCGATGTTCATGTGTCACCCCTTCCGCCAGTGGACCCCTCAGGTTCCACCTTAATGTATAGTTTCCGAGGCGGAAACTTTCGCCGGCGGGGGTACTGTGGCGGGTGCGCCGCCACAATTTAGTCGCGGTATCCTTTTCCGTCCAAGTCGGGCGGTGGCGCAGGACGCGCCACAAACGTAGATGTAAGACAAAGGATCCGCCCCGTGTGTGGGACGCGTGCAGAGAGGCGTGCCGGGTTGTGCCGCTGAGTGCCACGAGTGTCCCGCGTACAAGAATAAAGATACACCGTTTGGCTGAGTTATCAATTATGGGTTGACGTGACGCTACCGAGAGAACCCGCAACAGCCTTATTATGAAGTTTGGCTTCTTTGCATATGAAAACAGTTTGTACAATGTATTGTTTTGCCCAAAATACAATGCTCATGGAAAACATTGCCAATAACATCTGTAGAAAAGATAATTTCACAATGTTAAGTTCACATTCTTTGAATCAGTTTATGTTTTTCTTCATTTCATGGTGGCAGAAATATGGTGAAAGATTTTATCAGCCCTTGAAATAAATGTTTTTCATCTGCACCATTCTGTTTCTACGTTTTAATCGCCGTCTTGTGGGCTGCCTCACGCGACCGGTATGTCTGGTTTGTCGGCAGCGTGTGGCCATGTGGAGTGCGGACGGCGCCGGCGGCGACTCTGCCGACTGGGAGCTGAGCAAGGAGAATGTGCAGCCGCTGCGCCAGGGCCGCCGGCTAGACGTGCTGAACAGCTCGCTCCAGCCGGCAGCGGACGACCAGGTGGCGCAGAAGGTCGCCGAGCAGCGCAGGTCAGCGCCAGGGAACTGTTCTGGGCGTGTTTGGCGGGAGTCCGGGCAGGGTGCCGAGGATGGTGTAGTGCGTGTCTAGATGCAAGTATAGCTGGTGTTTACTTTTTATCCGTGGTTGTAGGGCTGTGAAAGGGCAGGTGGCTTCGGAGCCCGGCTGAGCATTACGGCTCCCGAGGCGGGAGCCGAGTCCCGCCTCTCCGAGTGAACCATACCAGCGGCTCCGGTTTCGGTTCTGGATAGAATGTACCGCCCTCGGCGGGTTCTTTTCTGGTTCTGAGAGAAATGTACACTCGCTCGGTACGTTCTGTGGTGGCTCTGACTCCTATGACTGGCCACATCTGAATCTCTCAAGACAAACGCGGTCGCTATACGGTCGTTGCGAACTGTGAATCAGAAACCGACAGAGGCATTGAAATACTTTGAAAGGCTTCACCATACCATAAGCTGTTCAATTTTTTTTTTTCAATGCTTGCCTTTATGTGTGCTATATGTGTGTGCTGTGTTGAGTTCACACTACGCCGTACTCAGTAGTCAGTGCTGTGCCGAGCCGACCTTTCATCTCTTTTAACGATTCCTCCCTCCTCTCGGTGTCGCTGCAGGTCGTTTGAGCTGGAGATCCGTACGTACACGGGCGACGACCCCCTGTCCCCCTGGCACCGCTATGTGCTCTGGATGGAGCAGCACTGCCCTCGCGGCGGACACGAGGGTAACCTGGACGGCCTGCTCACGCAGTGCATCGCCCGCTTCACGGCCGAGAAACGCTACCACCAGGACCCGCGCTTCGTGGCGCTCATCATCAAACAGGTGCGTGTGTGTGGTCACGAGGCTGCCCGCTGCTCCGCCGACCGGAGTGGGCTGCTGAACTGGGTGTTTTGCTTACAGCGCTGGCCGACTCGTGCAGCTGTTTTGTAACATATCCACTATCCACGGTTTTGTATTTCTGGGAGTTTTGATTTGCTTGGTTGGAGTGATAATGGGGTTTGCGTTTGCCGTGTGAGTTATGATACAATAGCACCCACCAGCAGCATGCACGTGATCTCGGCCCCCGCTTCGACGGCCCGTCTGCCCGGCAGGCTCTGAGCACCCAGGAGTCGCTACCCATGTTCAGGAATATGTTCAACCGCGAGATCGGCACGAAGCTGACCATGTTCTACCGCGCGTGGTCGGCCCAGCTGGAGCTGGCAGGTACCGTATGGGTTCGGTTGTGCTAGACGGTAACGGCCGAAAGGTGACTAATTTCCGCGGAGATTTGATGATGGTCTGTTATTTGGAGGAATAGATATTAGGTTTGATAATTGGTTCTTGATCGGACCGAATGTATGTTAGTCTAACAATTTATTTACTTCAGCACGATAGCAACTCAATTATTCGTCGCAGTGAATGTGGTCAATAGGGCAATTGACATAAGCAGGTGACTAGAAATAAAGGCAGATAAAAACCAGTAAAACATAAGTAAACGTTGTCATATTACCCTTCAAGCGCCGTGCCGCTGCGGTGTTATATAATACTGAACGAGGCCGGTGTAAATAAATTTTCAAGACCGAGGTCCTTACTGGATTTTTGAACGAGGCCGAAGGCCGAGTTCAAAAATCAGTAAGGACTGAGGTCTTGAAAATTTATCACCGGCCGAGTTTGGTATGTATTTTACTGTATGCCAACGATAAATTTATGTTCTTTACTGTATGCCTGGCCTATTCAAATACATTAGCCAGAGGGGTGTGGTAATAACTGGTGTAAGCAAATTGACCACGGTCAAAAATGCATTACCAGAATGCACTTAAGCCAACATTTTTGGATGGTCTCGTTCCTAAGTCGGCTAAGAGCTTCGGTCCAGAAAATAAATTTATCGTTGGCATACAGTAAAATACATACCAAACTCGGCCGGTGATAAATTTTCAAGACCTCAGTCCTTACTGATTTTTGAACTCGGCCTTCGGCCTCGTTCAAAAATTCAGTAAGGACCTCGGTCTTGAAAATTTATTTACACCGGCCTCGTTCAGTATTATATAGGACCGAAGCTCTTAGCCGACTTAGGAACGAGACCATCCCAAAATGTTGGCTTAAGTGCAAACTGGTAATGCATTTTTGACCGTGGTCAATTTGCTTACACCAGTTATTACCACACCCCTCCGGCTAATGTATTTGAATAGGCGAGGCATACAGTAAAACCCTGCCTCTCTCTCGGCCGGCAGGTAAGATGCTCCAGGCCGACTTGGTGCTGGCCGAGGGTGAGCGGCTCGGCGCCGAGCCGGCCGATGAGCTCGCCGAGGCGCGGCGCAAGCTGCAGACCCGCGTGGCCAGCGCTCTGGCAGCCGGACAGCTGCCGGCGCAGACGGCACAGGTCGCCCAGATCGGCCGCAGCGCAGCCGACGAGCGACACGCGCTCGGCGCACTCCGAGGTGGGTGGAGGAGCTGAATTGGGGAGGGCTAGAGGAGAGCTGCCGGGCTGTGGTGTGATCTATTACTTCTGGGTACTAGCTTGCTGCTGGTGTTGTTCGTGACTTCACCTGTCATCAGGCAAATATCTGCTGTTTGTCGTAGAAAAAATATTAACAAGTAGTTAAGCAAAAGGCTTGGTGATTTATACGGTATTATTCCTTAGTTTTTGCGTTATTCTGGCTACATCGCTCGACGCTCTATTATAATGTCTTATGATCGACTTTTTTAACTCCCGACGACCACTGTTTCGCGACGACCGGACGCACACTTCAGCCCCTCGTAACAATTAACCATCTATCTTGCATTGTTTTCGCCCACTGCGTGTGACCGTCTCTCTTAAGCACTCATCTGACGGAGTCCCGTGTGCCGCCCGCAGGCTCCGCTGACGGCATGGTGCCGCGGCAGCGGGTCGGCGCGGTGCAGGCCGGCGGGCCGGGCACCCTGCCCATGGCGGCGCCGGCCGCCCATCAGCCGCGCCACAACCAGCGCCTCAAGGTGTTTGTCGACGAGAACGCGCCGCAGACGGCCGTGCCGGCGCCGGCTCCTCACGGCACGACCACTGAGCTGCCCACCGGGCGAGCCATGCATAAGGAGAACGTGCGCAAGGCGGGCCCGTGGGGAGCGCCGCAGAAGGCCTCCAAACGGCCGACTCCGCCGGGCGGCCCGGCAGCGCCTGCCTTTAGAGGTATGAAGGGCCAGGACAGGGCGCGGGAATGTCGAGTCCTGGTGCATCTCCTGTGGTTTCTGCATTAACGATATTCATGAACTATCCGATCATCTTATTCTCATTTTCGGAGTCCATGATGATTTGGTTATTGAACATCGTCCGAATTGATCAGAATTATGCAGGTATTACTTTTTTCTTATGCTGGGGTGCACATTAAGTCCGTGAGTCGCCCTCATTGACCTGAACCGACCTGACCTTTGGCAGTGTTCGAGGACAGCGGGGCGGGCGCGGCCACTGGCAGTCCCATCACCATCAAGCAGGGCGCGCTGGCGACCCGCGCCGCCCCCGCCCCCGCCCCCGCCCCGGCCGGCGGCCTGGACAACATTCCCGTGGCGCACTTTGAGCCGCCCAATGACAAAGTGAAGGTCATGTACAACAAGGAGCTGGTGAGTGCGGCAGCGGGTCGCGCCGACACCTAGGGGAGATGCATTGAAAGAGGTGGTCTTTGACTTTGGTACTGATTGATTATGCCGTACATACTAGGTATACGGAAATGGGAAGTTAGTATTCTGTCTGCATCGGAAAAAAAATCGGTAATATGCTATAACGCCAACATTGTTTGTAATCCGGAGAGTATGTTAGACGATGCTAAATTTTTGGTGATATGAATCTTTTTTACTCTGTTTCTCAAGAGTTGCCTTTTAGTTTTATGTCGCTATTGCCGCGGTTTGGCCCCTGACCGTGCCTTTACCGCCGTCAGATTTATACTGGTGCTAGCGAGGTGTCCTTTGAGGAGCTGAGGGCGGCCAGGTGGAAAAAGGACAACAAACTGCGTAAGTAACACATCACTCAGGGTCTGCGGTAGATGTTAAATAAAACACCTAATCCTATGCCAGCGAAATGGTTGTCTGTACGATTTACTTGCTGTTTGTGTTGAGTCATTTCGCGCTACGAAAGTTGAGCGACCATGTAGAGCGGGTACCTACACGATTTCGGTTTATGGTCGCTACGATTCCGCTGTCTGGAAGTCGAATCTACGATCAATTTTCAGTTCCCAAAGTGAGCTCGTGACTTCTCTTTTTATTTACATATGATAGCGAGGAACGTAAATTATGATCCCGTAGTCGGCGCGCCTCCGACCTCTACTTATGAAAGCAAGGAAGTTTGCCAATTTGCTCCCATATTCTATATGTAATCCAGCTCGCCAACAATGACGTTTGCACAGCGGGCCCATCAAAATTCAATACGCAACCAAATTGTGACACCCCTTCCCCCTCCTCCACCAGTGCTGGAGCAGCGCCGTATGCACGAGGAGATGAACCGTCAGATGCAGGAGATGATGCGCCGAAACTCTGAGCTGGAGCGGCAGGTGCTGGAGCTGCGCGCCCGGCCGGCACCGGCGCCGGCTTCGTCGCTACACGGCTCGCTGGGCCTCTCCAACGTCAGCGGAGGCTCGTCCAGTCTCGGAGGAGGTGGGTGCTGAGATGGGAGGGGGGAGATAGGGTGGGAAGTGAGGGAGGGGACGGAATGAGGGGAAGAGAGCGGTGACGGACGGGGGGCGAGGGATGGGTGAAGGATGTGATGTATGACGGAAGAGGATGAGGATGGAGAGTGAAAGGGAGTTGGTAGCAGTTGGTAGCTGGCTGTTAGTATTAGGGTCAGGTAGTGTGATTTCAGCTGCCTAATAACATATTTTGCTTCATCGTAGCTAGAGCTACCATTGTGTTCGTGAACTGGCTCGCTATCCTTCAACCCCTCCCGTTACTTGAGAAATAGTTGTTATAAAAATGACTGATCTCGTCTCGCTGGCGGCTCAGGACACAGCAACCTGTCGGGCTCGACGGTACTGGCCTCTCCGACGGTCAACACCCGCGACGCGATGAACTACGTGCGCGAGGTCATGAACAGGACCGTGGACACGTCCGTGCAGCTGCCGATGCGTCACGGAACAGGTGAGCCGCAGAAGACTGATAGGAATGAGGCGGGCCTCATGATATTTGGTTGAGCCGAGGGAAGTCAAGTCAGCTTCTGTATGTCTGTGTTGTTATGCACTTTGTGGCCTGCTATGTCTATATGTTGGTGTGTCGTGAGGCTGTTGATGATGACATGTTTCAGCACCATGTAATCGCTGACCGTTTGCGACCGTTTTGTGTCGCCAATGCCGGCAGTGCCGGCCGCTCCACCGTTCACTGTCTACGAGGAGCCCGAGTCGATGGTGGAGCGTCCGGCGGCCCCCGCCCCCGCCCCCTTCTCCATCTACGAGGAGCCCGAGGCCGGAGCCGCGCCGGCCGCCCAGAAGGCGCCGCCCGCCGCCGCCGCCGCACCATTCGCCGTGTACGAGGACGACGCCTGCGCCCGGCCGGCCGCCGACGGCGACGACGACGACTCGGACCGGGAGAACCGTCCCCCGGTCGACTGTCCGCCGCCGCCGCCGCGTCGCCGGCCGCCGCACGTCCTCGTCGACGCCGTGGACATCCCGACCGAGCCACTGGGTGCCGAGGAGCCGGACCCCGCCCCCGGCCACGGCGCTCCGCCGGCGCGCCGGCCGCTCCAGTTTGACGACGAACTAACCGGCTTCGTGCCCCTGACGGATGATGTGACGATCGCCGCCGGAGACCTGTCGCATTTCGCGGCGGCCGCCGGCCGCGTCGCCTCGACACCGTTCGCGCCGCCGCAGCCGCCCTCGCCGGTCGGTGGGCGTGCCAGGCAGACGGAGGAAGACAGCGACTTCACGGCCAACCTGAGAAAGTGGGTCCGAGCGGGACGACAGGGGTGCGGCTTTGTTCTGCTCGCGTGGGGTGGTGTGTTTTACTGCTTCAGCTTACTTGCTTACGGAAAGTTCGCGTTACTGGTGTACATTGCAATGGCTGTTATTTGTAAATATTCGAACGAACGAAAACAATTACACAAATTGTATGATTGTTGCCATTCGCGCGAATATATACTTTCATGTCTGATAATTCACAATGGCTGTTATCTTTGCTTATCATGGAGCAAATGGTTAATATGTGGAGTGATTACAAACTTGTTCAGCTCCAAAGCCAAATAGAGCGACTACTGCCTGACCATCGGGTTGTCAGTACGTCTGGTGGACTGCGGTGCCCCGCTCGCGGTCGGGCGGTGTGACCTCGCTCTGACCCGGGGCGTTCGTGTTCCAGTGTGCGTATCGGACGTAATGCGCAGGAGCGCTGGGCCTCGGAGCGGGTGCTGCCCTCGGAGGGCGTCCAGCAGCTGACGCCAATTATGGAGCGCTCACGTGAGTGATCCCCCGTCCCCTCTTAATTTGTGCTCGTGGTCTCCGCCCCGGCGCACCCCTGTTCCCATTCTGTGCTGGGGTATGTCGACTTGTAGCGATTTATACTAAACCGTCAAGGAAATGTGATGCCGAAAGTTGTATGTGCTTTCTGGAAGACAGGACATTTTTGTAGACCATGAATAGCTGGGAGTTTAAGCAATAAACATGTTTTAATGTCAATTCCCTGACTGTCGAACGTCTGTTTCTCCCGACGCCCTGGCGGTGTGACTCCCCCGCCCGCTCTCCACCGCTGACCGTCGTGTTCTCTTTGCCCACAGACGATCAGCGCTCGTCGAGCGCCAGCGGCAGCAGCGGCTCGGATATGTCGCGTCAGTCGCGCGGCGACGTCTCGGCGCCGGTACGTGGACGGGAGTTGACTGCGGGGATTAATGTCCGGCTGTACTGAATGGGCTGCGGATTCAGGACTGGAGTGCCGAGTGTTGGGTGCTTAGAGAGATGATCACTGATGATAAGCGGGCCGCCGTGGTGGAACGGTAGTGGTGTTGGGGCCAACTGGGTCACTAAGACAATTGTTTACTCTTAGGAGTTGGTTGGAATTTTGTGTCAACCGTTCCTAGTATTTTGACTGGTTTTGGAGCAATATGCAAGTGTCTTTTTTTACCGCCAGCGAATTGCGAGAGCGTGTCTTCACCGCCAGTATCAATAGCATTGCAAAGTACGCTAGGAACGGCCAGTAAGCATTTGAACTTCGCACGTGCTTGGCACACGCTGTTCTTTTCCTGGTTGTGTTAAACCCTGGGTGTTTCTTTATCTGAATGTGCTTCCCAACGTTATCCTCTTACGTGTGGCACGGCCGGTCCTCTCAGTATGTAATGACCTTCGCCGTGGCCCTCGCCCTAAACCCCAGTTGATCGCCGTTCTGGCCGACAGATGGGCGGTCAGCAGTGGCGCCAGCGGCTGCCGTCGGGCGCCGACCGGTCGCAGCACCAGCAGTCGGGCCGCGCGCCGCCGCCGCCCCAGCTGACTCAGAGCTCCGGCTACCTGGGCGACCGGTCGTGCTCGGTGCGTCCGGCCTCGGCGGTCGGCGGGGCGGTAATCGACTGCAGCATGTCGCGCCGGCCGGATTCGGCCGACGCCAGCGGTCTGCAGGCGCCGGACGTCAGCATGGCCGCGCCGGCCGTCTCGCCCAACAGGAGCGCGCTCCGGCCGGCAGAGCTGAGCGAGAAGGCCGCCGAGCTCAGCCTGGCGCCGGCCGCCGAGCTCAGTCACATCCAGACGCCGGAGCTGGCGCCGGCTCAGCCGCCCGCTGAACTCAGCGGCTTCCAGGCGCCGGAGGAGCTCGGGCCGACCCAGCCGCCCGCCGAGTTCAGCGCCCTCCCAGTACCGGCGGCTGAGCTCAGTGAGTTCCAGCCCCCGGCAGAGCTGAGCGGGTTTCAGCCCCCAGCGGATCTGAGCGAGTTCCAGCCCCCAGCGGATCTGAGCGACCCCCAGCCACCCCCGGCGGCCGAGCTCTCAGCTCTGACGCTGACGGAGACTCCGGCGCCGGCGGTACCCGAACATCCCGACCCCTGGGACTCCACGCTGCAAGAGGACCTGCTGAAGAGCCTGTCGCGACCCGTCCACACCAGACGCTGCTACAAGAAACTGGCGGGCAAACTGCCCAACTTCTCGCGCAAGGAGATCGAGATTGGTGAGATAAATTAAGTATGGAGGGGTGAGCTGGTGGGTGTTATACGATAAGGTGATGGGGGAAGCGGGTGACAACGAACGTCCATAATCTCAACTGTTTGTACAAGTACCGTGAAATGCTGCCTCGTGCATCAGATGATATTTGAGGAATAATGACAATTGTTCTTTTGTTTTAATTGCGGTTTTCTCTGTTTCTTGTTCAACTTTCGATGCTTCTGTCTTTTACAGGGTGACACAAAAAAAAACGGTCATCACCAAATTTCGAATAACTTCGGAAGTTTTATTCAGATCATCACCAAACTTCGGCCACTTAAGGTCACACCTATGTAGCATACATCCACCAAGTTTCAAGTCTTCACTACGAATACTTTTAGTACAGTGTGTGTTTTACTGACGCTCCACAATGTGCTCCAGGTGAGCGCCACTGCGCTGCAGGGCGTAGGCACACTTGCATCCGGCGGGCAAAGTTGTCGATAACCCGATGGCTGTGCGCTTTACAGAGTGCAATGGCCTCTGGAGACATTGCTCAGGGGGTGTGCTACCCCTGAAACGTTATTCTTATCGGGTTATCGACAACTTTGCCCGCCGGATGCAGGTGTGCCTACGCCCTGCAGCGCCGGGGCGCTCACCTGGAGCACATTGTGGAGCGTCCGTAAAACACACACTGTACTAAAAGTATTCGTAGTGAAGACTTGAAACTTGGTGGATGTCTGCTACATAGGTGTGACCTAAAGTGGCCGAAGTTTGGTGATGATCTGCATAAAACTTCCGAAGTTATTCGAATTTTGGTGATGACCGTTTTTTTGTGTCACCCTGTATCTGGCTTCAAGTCTAGTTTCTCTTCTTTGGTCATGGTACGGCACACCTGAGTCCTCTGACCCCCCCCCCCCCCCCGTCGCACCCCCTCAGACGGCCAGCGGCTGGCGGTTACCCTGATTGGCGAGGGAGCGTACGCTCGCGTCTACCACGCCATCGACCGCGAGACGGGCACCGCGCACTGTTTGAAGGTGCAACAGGACGGCGGCGACTGGGAGTTCTACGTGATCGACGAGCTGCACGAGCGGCTGGCCCGCGACGCGGCAGAGGTGAGAGGAATGGAAGGGAGAGAGGGAATGAGAGAGATACAGACAGACAGACAAACAGACAGACAGACAGACAGACACAGACAGACAAACTAGAGTGGGATCCTGAAAGAGCTAGACAACCCCTTCTTTCAAGTACCATTCTAGTGATCCAATATCCAACACATCTACCTCCGGTAGAGTCCGGTCATGGTCTCATCAAACTTGTACCGCTGACGCGCGTCTCCCTCCTAGTCAGATGTCCAGTGACGATGGACTGACGTGTCTGCTGCCACCCACAGAATCCGTTCCTGATGTCCGTGGACCGGATGGTGGCGTTCGATAACGGCAGCGTGCTGAGATCGGACTACCAGAGGGCGGGCACGCTGCTCAACGCCTTCAACAAGGTCTCGGCCATGGTGAGTGGACCCACTGCTCCCCCGCGACGCAAGTGTGGAGGACTGGGGCGCAGAACACAGGACGGGCTTTTAGCTCCAGTGAACAGCTTACTTTGAGGGATATCAAGCAACGACGAGTGAGGCAATCTTTTTTTTGGAATATTTAATCAGGCAATGTCGCAGAATGTCGGAACTTTGAAGGTAACTCTGCTTTAAGTGTCATTGTGTTCGACTTGTAATTTATATCTCGGCATGCATACATTACTAACGACACAATCTAGCGTGGTCTGTCATCACTTCTTTATATTCTGACGTCCTCACTGTATCTCGTTCCCTGTCTGCCCGACAGTATGGCAAGTTTGACGAGGGCATGGTGATGCTGTTCACCGCCGAAATGCTGGGCGCAGTGTCAGCTGTGCACAGCGCCGGCCTTATCCATGGCGACATCAAACCGGATAACTTCCTGCTGCGTGGCGGGTAAGCTGGGGCAGACCGGGGCGAGAGGATGCCAAAGCGCACTGGATAGATGAGCTACATGGTTGTACTGGTTTGAAATGCTCTGTGTTTTGTTAACGTCGCTCTAAGGACATCCTCTTACCGTCTCCCTGGCCCGCCGTTCTCTGGCTCCCAGTGAGCTGGAGGACGTCGGCCGCCTGTTGTTACCGTCCCCCATGTGTGCCCCGTTCCCAGTGGGCTGGAGGACGTCGGCCGCCTGTTGTTACCGTCCCCCATGCGTGCCCCGTTCCCAGTGGGCTGGAGGACGTCGGCCGCCTGTTGTTACCGTCCCCCATGCGTGCCCCGTTCCCAGTGGGCTGGAGGACGTCGGCCGCCTGTTGTTACCGTCCCCCATGCGTGCCCCGTTCCCAGTGGGCTGGAGGACGTCGGCCGCCTGTTGTTACCGTCCCCCATGCGTGCCCCGTTCCCAGTGGGCTGGAGGACGTCGGCCGCCTGTTGTTACCGTCCCCCATGTGTGCCCCGTTCCCAGTGGGCTGGAGGACGTCGGCCGCCTGTTGTTACCGTCCCCCATGTGTGCCCCGTTCCCAGTGAACTGGAGGACGTCGGCCACCTGCTGTCCCAGCTGAGCAGCGCCCATCAGCCGCAGCTGCTGCAGCTCATCGACTTTGGACGGGCCATCGACATGACCCTTCTGCCGCCTGGTGAGACTGCGGCGCCCGGAAACCATACTCCGCATTAGTTACCATATGACCTAAACTGCAGTCCTGGCGCCCTAAAATCCAGAGCATTATGTCAGCTATTAACCGACCGTAGTGCATGTTCTTACGATACGCCAGCTGATCGTCATTAATACTGTCACCTTTATGTCGCTCCGAGTCTTTGAGGAGCTGTATCCCACCTGTTCCTTGTATCCGCGACTGTGCACATCGTATCCCGGTTGTAGCGCCGCCGCCGCTTCACACTTCCACCAACCCTCTTCTGCCTGTCCTGCGTTGCAGGCACGACGTTCACGCGCGTGGTGACCACGGACGACTTCACGTGCCCGGAGATGAAGGAGGGCCGCGAGTGGACTTTTCAGACGGACCTGTTTGGCGTGGCCGCGTCAGCGCACGTTCTGCTGTTCGGCAGCTACCTGAAGCTGCGTCGCCGGCCGGCTCCGGATGGGCCGTGGTCTGTCAGCGGCACCATAAGACGGTGAGCGCCCCCGTGGATAGAGTGGAACGGATGAAAGGAGTGGATGAGTGAAGGGGGACGGTATGAGCCATACGGGTGTTGGATGAAAAACCACATGAAAAACCTGGTGGTTATCTGGATGAGCTTTACAAATAATCTGATTCTGAATGGTGTTGGCGAGATGGGAGAAGCACGGCGAGTCGTGACTTGGGCCGTATGGAAGGCTAGATTTAAGTGGGCTTTTGCATTGCATTGATCTACTTCTCATCATTCAGTCGACATCGCCAGTTATACCATTCGATCTGAGTACCCGCTCGAACTGGCGCCTGTCCGGCCCTCCCTCTGACATCCCGTTAATCTATGTCTGCAGGTTCTGGTCGCCGGTGTGGGGCGAGTTCTTCTCTACCTTCCTCAACATCCCGTCGTGCTCTGAGCTGCCGGACCTATCCGCGTGGCGGCGGCGCTTCCTGGACCTGGCGCTCTCCAAGCAGCTGGACAAAGCGCTGCACAGTCTCATGGTGGCCATCAAACAGCCCTGAGCTGCTCGTCGAGCCGTGAGTGGTACCGCACTGGGCGGCGGCGGTTCTGTGTTTGTGCCTTTGCTGTAGAGCCGTGGAGTGCTGGACTCGGTGTGTGAGTGAGGGGTGAACCTGCTGGAACACGCAAGCGTCCCTGGCTCGTCTGGGGAGTGACAGAGCTGAATGGAGGTGGAATGGGGTGTGCGACGGCGTGACCACTGTCGAAGTGTTCACCGTGTGAGAGTGAGTGGCTGGGTACGAGAGGCGTGGTCCCGCCTGGCGTCTGTGCACCAACCCCTGTTTAACAGTTGACTCGTGAGTGTGTGGAACTGGCTCCCTCCCACGCCGGTCGACCCCGTGGGTCTCCGGTCAGCGGCCCTTTTCATGCCGCGTCTTCTTGGCGTTATGTAGTGCGCCAGTCTGTCGTTTTCCCGAGGGGAGAGACTTCTCTCGCTGAAGCGCGCATACGATCGAACGACCGTCGTCCCGGTCCCGGCGAATGGACGGTGCTCGCAGCCGTGTGTGGCGCCTGTGTATATAGTGGTGTGCGCAGAAAGCTTCGGCGTGCCTAAATGTTTATCACATTTGATCGTTCATTGAGTTCAGAAATCTATTTTATCTTGTCGGCTTGTCTTTAACTCATTAAATAGTCTTATAGATAAGTTTTCAAAATTTGCTAACATTTCTCGCTCGTTGGCGCGCGCTTCTTTTAACCATTCATGTGTGGTGATCTCTGGTCGTGTGTTTCGTTGTGCTGCTCATCAGTCCAACATTGTGTGTCGGTCACCTCGTTCGTCTCGCCACGACCCGTGCCTAGACCGTCTCCCCAGCGCTGCCCAACGGCAGTGCGGCGGGCGGGACGGTCACTGCTGTTACTGCCACAAGTGCCGACTGAAACCTCATCTGATACATACTGTCAACGGAAGAGATTATAACGAGATTGCCGGGGACCAACAATAAACGATGCGCTAAATTCGATTTTCATGGTTTGATAGGGAGTGAGTTGCTGACACCGGAATGGACGGGTTTTATTGCGAAACAGCACAGAGTGACGGGGTCCAGTTCTTTGACAAAATACTTCTCAAGCACATAAATATTGAAACTCATTACCGTTTATTTTACAGAGCGGTTTACGTTTGTGACTTCTTCTGGGGACTCGTAGTGCACTAAGTGCAAGGGTATATACGTGTCGGACTATTGAAAATCGCATATTTGCTACATATCGGTACCCATAAATGCAAACAGTGCGTTTACAAAAATAGCATACGTGAAGAAACCTATCCAGATTATTTCGTCACGAATATCAGGCAACGATCTTTAATTCCACAAATGGTGACGCCTCTTGCAAGTTGCATATCATTTCAAGTATCCGTGACTGTGCTCTGCAAGCTCCACCGTTTGTTCACAGTTTGATGATTCTCCTCCGAATCACCTTACGCACTTTTCTCTTGCGGTATTTTCCTGAAAACAAGTAATGCTTTGTCAGTTGGTATAAATCACACCGCGAAAATTATTAACGATGTAACTAGGAGAAGAAAGATTGCGAGTAGAATTAAAAGTCAGCGCGGCCCGTGGCTATGTAGGTAATAAAAGCGCACTACCGACCACGCCTATAGCTTTCTTTCTCTAAATAGGTTGAAGTAACTTTGGGATATCCTGATGTGAATTTTTTGTCATTGACTTTGCCTGTCATTCCCTAAAGGAACGATTGGGGGATTCACTGGAACCGTTCCAGGACACACTGACACGTCACTAATCATGACATTGCACATCACACTCACAGCACACGTCCGACCTGACCTCTCCATCAGGGTTGTATACGACTCAATCAATAGCAATCAATTCAATCACGACAAATTTGGGAAACCAATCAAATCAATCAAATTCAAGTCGGAGCAGTTTTCGGGAATTGATTCAATCGACTCAAACGCGACAATGAAAGGAATCAATCAACTCAATCAAACGACTCAAACCAAGACATACATTAGGTTTTTTTGCCCCACCAACTTGGAAAAGTGTCCATAGCAGTCTGGTGTACCTACCTACCTACCTACCTACCTACCTACAGAAGAAACATAAAAATATTGTCATTTAAAATTATAAATTGCCATGCCATTCAAAGTTTCTATGTAATAAGGAAGGATACCTAGTGATGGACAGGTGGATCATGATATTGAGGTTCAATGGGTAGAATTGGAGCAGAAGTTTCATTTAATGGGTGCAAAATAACCCAGTAGTTGACTTCAACAAACGCCCCTTAACCCAAATCACCACCTTTCACCTTAAAGTTGTCAATTTAATTTTGGCCACATTCCAGCTAAGTCATCATGCCATCTACCCCATGTAAAGCCCCTGTCTGTCTCTTATGTGAGTTATGCGGAGCTCTTCTGAATTGAACCCTGAACATAATGAACCTAGCTAGGTTTCATGCCACACTGACACCATATGAAAGTGTTGAAAATGTGCTAAAAATTTGACAACTTCATTAGGTATGCTTTATGAAGACAGCAGGAAAGCAGGTAGGTACCTACTTAGGTTAGGTCCCGACTGGAAAAAATGCCTCCACTACGCTGAAGTTCTCGGCGGAGGTGATGCGCCGAAATTTCGGCGCAAGGGTTTATGCGCCAAAATTATTTTACCAAGCCATGCTTCATGCGCCGAAAATTTTCAAGGCTTACTGATGGCTGCAGGCTGTAGCCACGCACTTTTCGTCGAGGGGGGGGGGGGGGCTGGCGTGTGTGTGTGGCTGTCTTCCAGTGACTACTGTCTACAGACGGTTGTTGGCACGGTCGACGGGATCGGGCAGACAATAGACATCAGCAGGCCATGCGGGACCGAGCACCAGCGTTCGCTATCACAAAATCTCCTGACTCACAAACTCACTGGCATGTTCCATAACGTAACCTTTATTTTGTTGCCCGGCTCTGATCAGCAGTATGTGCCCAGCCGGTGACTGACGCCTGACGGGGCCTTCAACAGGCGCGGTGCAAGCACGGCCGATGGGATCGGGCAGATACCAGGCCACGCGGGACCGATTGCCAGCGTCCGCTCGCAAACCACACGCCGGAAATACAGGAATCACAACGGTCAATACGCAAACGATAGCATACGTTATCTGAACTAGGGGATCCGACAATCCATAACCTCACTCTCGATCGGTGAACTGTTCCCGCCGTGGGAGAGTCACAATCAGGTTCACTGAACATGACTTAAATACCCTGAGACGAACACAAGACAAGATAAGTGATATTTAAGATGTTTAACTCCCGAAGACATTTAACCCTCGCCGGCCGAGGGGGGTTGGTGCCACCCCGACGGGTTTTTCGCGACTGCTCCGGAGCCGTTTGCGATAGAGAGATAGAGAAAACCGTCGATTTACGCCGAAGTACGCCGAAAATTTCGGCGCAAGCTGTCGATTTACGCCGAAGTACGCCGAAAAATTTCGGCGCAAACGCCCAACTACGCTCGAGTTCTCGACGAAAGCGTGCATTTTTTCCAGTCGGGGGTTAGGTTAGGTACGCAAACGTAATTAGCGAGACGAAAACGGCGCTTTTGTTTCAGTTATTTTTGTAGGGGTTTCAGATATTTATAGAGTTCAGTGGGTTGTTTCTGAGGAGATGTGGAGATGTGAATTATTAATTAATCACACTTTATTAGTACCTTTAAAGGGCCTTGCACTTTATCATCTGGATTAAGAAAAAAACGTTTCCTGCTGAGTGCAGTAAGGTAGGTAGGTGCATCGCCAGGTTCTATCACCAGGATTGGAGCAGTTATTGCAGTTGAAAGTCAAAGTTGGCTGTTCATGTTTAGGCCCTGTTCTTTATTTGGCCATCTACCCCATATTGCAGTTGTGATGACAAGCAGTTTTCAGTGTAGTTTTGTGATCTTTGATGTCATCAATTGGTGTCATTATTTTTCGTCAACTAAAACTTATTTGAACTTTCCATTCAATCGACTCAATCATACGAGTCACTCTAATTTTCGGGAATCAAATCAGTCAACCAGTCGCTAAAGTCAAACGAGTCAGTCAACCAGTCATCTCGAAAAGTCAATCGACTCAATCCAATCAACTCAAAATACGCGTTGAATCAAATCAATCAATTCAATCGACTTGATTGGTATACAACCCTGCTCTCCATCAGCCCACATCACACCACTCACCGGATGGGACGCCGCTGATGTCAGTCAGAGCGACGAGCTTCAGCAGCGCGCCGTCCGACATCGGCTCCGTCAGAGGCGTCCCCAGGTCCTGGAGTGACTTCATTGGCCTCGACTCCACGCTCCTCGGTGTCTCCAGCGGCCCGGCCTCCAGGCCTTGGGGCGGTTCAAGCGGACGCGCCCTTGGATCCTCTAGTGGCTCCAGCGGCTCATCTTCAAGGCCCCGGAGGCGATCAGGTGAACTCTCCAACTGGCCAGGGAGCGGCTCTGCCAACTGATTATCCCCCAGGTCCTGAAGCGGCTCCGCCTGTCTCTCTTCCAGGACTTGGAGTGACCCGATGGGACTCGCCTCCAGGTTCTGGAGAGGCTCCAGCGGTCCCTTCCGTCGGTCCTGGAGCGACTCTGCATCACTAGCGGATGCCTCAGTTAGATCGTCACCTACAGAGGGTTTCACTTCGTCCCGTCCCTCTGTTACCTGAGAAACGGATGGCTGTTTATCGGGTGTCTGGAGCTCAGGAAGAGGTGCCGATAAAGTGGCGGTCTTCTCAAGGGAGTTTTCAGTAGCTTCTGCTAGACCTGAAGCATCCACAGTGTTCTCAAAACCAGCGTTGTGCTCTTTTAGACCTCCAGAGCCAACAGCGTTCTTAGAGAGGTCTGGCAAATCATTGGAGCTTTCAACGAGCGCTTCTGCCTCCACGCTGTTTTCGATTATGTCAAGATCAGAAGGATTATCGATTGAACTTCTGGCATTCACCCTGTCCTTTTCATCCAAGATGCTGATGCCCGATTCCTTATCGTGAACATTGAGCTTATTTTCGCGCATTGCTTGCAGCATTTTGAAGTCCTGCTCGATGTTACGCTTCTCCTCTGGAGGCTGCTGGTGCTTGACCATCTTAATTCCCTGCCGATGGAAAGATAGCATGGATTTAAAGGCCGCCCCACACTGGAACTCGCATGCGGGTTGCGAGTTTTTGGGTTTTCGGGTTTCTTCAGAATCAAATAATCCAAGCTGAGTGACCCACACTACAATGTAACAAGCCAGTCTGCATGTTTTTAGGTTGCGAGCCACCTTGCATCGCATTCCAAAGGTTGATTTTGAGTCAACTTTCGATTTTCCTCGCTGCGAGGTCTGCAAGTTCTGCGAGGTTTGCGGGTTTTTCGTTGGAGTCGAATTTTGGTTCGTTGCGCTGGTATTGCGACTACATGTAATTTCCTGAAGGTGTACCGGCTTCACTGCATTCATGAAGTTACCATAAGGGAACGGTCTAATCGCTCTATGAATTAGTTTTATGCCCACAAACTCAAAACCCGCAAACTCCCAACCCGCATGCGAGGTCTAGTGTGGGGCGGCCTTAAACGACGAACTTTTATCTTTTTCCCGTCTATCAATATTGTCCGTGCAGCCCCAATGAACAAAACAAACATCGATCGATAAATTTCATAGAACCTTATAAATACGGTGCTTCGTAATTCATATTGGGCATATGCTTGCAAGTTGCACTCGATATTCGCTAACGGTTTGGCTTTGCAGCTTTGCACTTACGAGCGGCTGGTAGCCGTTCTCGTCGGCGTGCCAGTAGAGGACGATGTGGACGCCGGCCGGGTCGTGCCAGCTGACCCTGCCCTCAGTGGATATGACGCCCGTCAGCGGCAGCGGCCCCGAGAACACCTGGCCCACCTCCTCGTGTTTGATACCGTTGGTCGTCTCGAATCTGCGGGCGGAGGTGCCGGGCGGTATGCGGCGGCTGCCTGGGAGGTAGACTGTGCCGCATCGCCTGGCGGTACGGCGGAACAGTGGGAAATGCGGGGGACTGCAACGCTGGGCAGTGAGGAATCTCGGGCAGTGGCAGCGGTAGGGAAATTCCGTACTTATATCGGCAGTATCACCAAAACGGATTTATTTTGGGTCATCACCACGTCTCGCATGCCACATATTTACACCATTTAGACGTTTGCGGATCGTAAGTAAATACAATGCTGTGTTGTCAGCGCTATCGCACTGTAGGCCGGGACCCCGAAAAAGCGCTAGAAATTCCCCCAAACTGACTGTCAACAATATGAACAAAATAGGTATCATTTAATCCCAAATTGATCGAAGAATACGATTCCGATGCCAGTTTTGCCCTAAGGTCAAAAATTGAGGTCGTCAGTTGTCACCAAACACAAGACAATTTAGACTAGTGGCCACCACATTTACCGATTTTAATGATGATCTTTAGTGGTAATTTATTAGTTGACCAATCGTCGTTTTGGACGAAATTTTCTGTCAGACTAGTTCAGGGCACTGTTGTTCACTGTGCCAACATCATTCTTACATATTGCATCGCTTTTCTGCAAGATAAGCTAGCTTCTTGCAAGCTGCTGCAAGACGTAATTAAAAATCATATCTAATTTTTTAATTAGACTTTTATAAAAATGTGATTTCGAGCGGCTAAAAATGAACATTTTATACTAGCATCTGATTACTCATCTTTCGTTCCATATAGGTGCTTTGCTGCTTTTCCCTGCTACTTTTCGAGATATGCGCCAGTAAACCACATGATGTAGGGGCAACGGTCACCTCGCCGCTCTACTGAAGGCCCGGCGCTCTTTAAAGCGCTGGAAGTTGTGAAAAACGAGCGCTTATAATCTGAATAAAATATATGTCCCTGAGCTCAGAATTGATCAACGCACACAATGCTGTCAAAATTTTTGGGCCAAACTAATTGATTCAGTCATTATTAACCCCCAAACAAAAGTCAGTGATAATCAACAACAGCTTGCTCTTTAGTTAGACTTTTTGAGAAATGTTATTTCGAGCCGCTAAAAATGACCATGCCATACAAACCACTCATCATCTTTCTGTCATGCCCCACTCGCAATTTTTTGCTAATGCCTGCCACTTCTTCGAGGTCACCTGACCTCACCATTAAGAGTTAATGGGGAAATAAGGAAACTGTTGTTTTTGCGCATGGAATGATCTCAAACTATCTCAAGCACACGGAATCGTGATTTCATGCACTCCTTGCAAGATCCGATGCTTTACTTTTGCATTTTTGACCTTCCGTGAGGTCATTTATGACGTCACTGTGATCATAGGAGTTTCTCGTCAATAACTCATGATCAAATTGAGCCAGCGACTCGGGAAAGCCACCAATGGACTCGGGAAGACCTCCCGAGTCGAATGATATGCGATACAACCTCCTTCGATTAACTTCGTGGCCTGATGCGCTCTGATCTGACCTTGACTCGAGGTCAACACCTTAAGTTGATCTCACCTAAACAAAAAGTATACCATTCGACGCGCCTGAGCCAGGTGAACACGATGGTGCCAAAATCGCTGCTCTGCGGCCATTTTTTGCGAAATAATTTACCAAAAACCAAACCCTACCTTGGGATTTTTGACCTCACCTCAGAGGTTACCGGTTGACCTGGGACCTTAAAATCGGGTATCAATCGTTCCGTCTTGAAACGGCGCACACGCTTGTTTTTTCCGCGAGGCTCTAGCTCCATTAGGGGCGAAACGGCGAAAAGGGGTCGTACCAACCCTCCCCCCTCTGCCGGCCGAGGGGGTAGGGGGTCCGACAATAGGTCCGGCGAGGGTTAAGCAGCCCCACTTCGTTTTTAGCATGTTTGCTAGTCACTGAGATCAACAACTCAATCACAAATAATTTCTAGCACTTTTCCGGGCCCCCGGCCCAGTGTGTATCGGTAGCGTGTTGCTCTCTCGACTCTCGTCCTTTCCTCTGCTAGGATACAATTTACACAGATGGATTTTGTTTTTTATCCATCAAATGCGCACAAAAAGAAGCGTTGAAGAAAGCTCTCCTCTACACCCGGTGCCGTAAGTTACCTAATGAATAAAAAATACACCCGCCCTGCGCCCAATGGTACGTTTCTCACAATTTTGGGCGGTCACCAAGAAGTCGCCCGTAGCTGCAAACGGCGACATGAGTGTACGTACAAATACGTTCGTGGTAAGTGATCTTTTCCTTTAAACATCCATTGCATTTTCAATGCTGCATGTTGTCTGAATGTCGAACGGCCTTAGCGCGACTGCCTGATTCACTTTCAATGTTGCAATGTTACGACCTATGGAGGCATGCCGAACAAGGCATCGACTTATTTCAGTAGCAAAACGACACATGGGTTACTGCGGTGCGTTACTGTCTCATGCCTGAGGTGTTTTGTGCTCCGAGCTCATTGAGCTTGGCTGGAACTTTAACGTCCGTTTAACTCCAGGATATGCATACCGACGTGGGAACCGGACAAAGTCTTGACAGCTGAGGCTGACCACCGATGGATATATCTGGTTTTAAACCGTAACGTCTTCAATTGCGTATTTCAGACAGGCTTAGTTAGGCATATGCTCAATTAGTGTCGCACAATGAACGTCAATGCTAATGTTATTTGGGACGGACATCCCTTTTCTCTGCGGAGTGTTCGCTCCTTGCATCAACACATAAGCCATACGACATAATGCGACTGTCGCGCTGAAAAAAATGCTCCTCCGACCCGACTCACTGGAAGTGGTAGCCGTCCTGGTAGTTGTCGCTCTGGTAGTTGATGATCCGCGCCTCCCTGTCCGGCCTGGGCCCGTCTGCGGTAGCCGGTCTCCGCTCTGATCCCCGTGCAGCCCCGCTCCGGGCGTCCATCGGCGCCGGGGTGGTGTTCGGGTCAGGTAACACGATCACCGTGTCTTTGGCAGAGGGATTGATGGCGCCGGCGGAGCTGACTGCCGGTCGACGAATCACGGACGGCGAGCACAGAGGAAGCAGCGTCACCGCCAACAGCACCAGCAGCAGCTGGGGATGGGGAAACGTCAGACGGAAAACTGCCGTCGAACAGTGGGACGGGAAGACGGGGGCTGCATAATTATCCGTAGGAAACGGCAGCGATTATAGCGGTTCAAAATGTTAGTTGCTAAGAGTTTGACGGTCAGATCATCAGATGTTTTATCTGTTACACGTTTATGGGGCTACTGGAGACATTGTGTGGCTGTGAAAGTTTAACCCGCGCCCCGCTGGGGGAAGGGGGGCCTCCCGTTTTTCGCCAATAACTTCTAAACGCGTTACGCCAGCGACGTCAAACTTTCAGTACCTTACCATACATCAATTAAACACGTTTCCTGAAAATTTGAGCGAAAGCCGTCGGGAAATGTTTGAGAAAATGACGTTTTAGTGACGTCATGTTCGCCATTTTCGCCTAAAAAACGGCAAAATTTCAAACGCCGCTAACATCTTCATTTTTAAAGGAATCAAGACGTAACAAAAAAGGTTATTCGTAATTTTACTTTGTCTATCAAATGGATATCTCGGTTTTTTGAAAATTGTGGATTTTGGCCCAAATTTTTTTCAAAAAACTGACTTGGGAAATAATTATAAAATCCAAAATTTTGAGTGTATCGAAAATAAAACGGAATATATGTCAGAGAAGTGGTCTATGTGCACCTACATACCAATTTTTAGAAGAATTAGTTCAAAAATGTGGGATTTATTCAAAGTTTTATGACGTCACGACACACAAAATTTTTGAAAAATGATTTTTTTAGAAGTTCTAGACCTCGTACGGAAACAAAAATAGCACCATTCGATTCGCCGTGACAAACTGCATCAGATAGACACCTTTTTAGGCCTTAACAACCAACTTCGAAATTTGACCTCTCTTGACCTGACCTTGACCTGACCGCGACCTGAAATTCATCCAGAGGTGGTCCATATCACTTATTGAATGTGCCTATTGAATTCTATGAATAAAATGACCCATAAAACATGTGTCGCACATGCCCTTTTCTATATTTTGTTTTTGGTGACCTGACCTGACCTGACCTGACCTGACCTTGACCTTGACCTTTGAATGATATTGTATGCAACGAATATTGTCTTGGTAGCCTAAGAACACGTTTTGGGCAATCAGTCTCAGTCCATTCTTCGGCAACTACGGTACAAGGCCGATACTGTAGAAACTTGCATTTTGTACCCTTGACCTGACCTTGACCTGACCTCTGACCTGCTTAAGCAAACAAAATTAAGCTTATTAGATCCGCCTTGTTGAGAGCTTTCGATTGCCGTTTTCCCCGTCTTTCTACGACCATCGGTTCGAAGTTAGACAGGGGGCAGAATCTGCCCCCCCCCCCCCGGAAGGCCGCGTATGGCTGAATAGCCCAGCGGGGCGCGGGTTAAAGGTCATACATATTGTTACTATGTGTCGGACGGTGAGACGGCAGCTGTGAGTTAGACGGTCATATAGAGATGTGTCGGACGGTTGGTTCAACAATTAGAGACAGAATCTGTGTGAGAGAGGAGTAGAGAGACGTTTATAGTTTACTGTCCGACGGTCTGAGCCTGTCAATAACTGATCGGAGACAACAGTGCCACACGGTTAGGGGGTTAGAGAGATACTAGCGTCAGACGGTCAGACGGTCAGTGATATTATAGCGTTAGACGATTAAACGGTAAGAGATATATAGCGTTAGACGGTTAGTCTGTTAGACAGATTATAGCGTCAGGCGGTCAGTAGCGGCGGAACACCTTCAATCAAGGGGGGGGGGCACCGCCGACTTTTGATCCCATTCTCTCCATGCAACGCCCATAAAATGCCAAAATCAAAGGGGGGCACGGTGCCCCGGTGCCCTCCCCGTTCCGCCGCATATGCAGACGGTTAGACGGTTAGAGATATGGTAAGATATTATAGATTCTGACGGTTAAACGGTAAGGGAGATTTATAAAAGCGTCACTCTTAGACGGTTAGAGATTATAGCGTCAGACGGTTAGACGGTCAGAGATAATAGCGTCATACGCTTAGACGGTTAGAGAGGTTAAAGGGTCAGCTGGTTAGACGGTCAGAGAGATAACGGTGTCCGACGGTTAGACGGTTAGATATTCTAGCGTCAGACAGATGGTAAGAGAGGTAAAAATGTCACACTGTTAGACGGTCAGAAATTAAACAGCATTAACGGTTAGCCGTTAAGTCAGAACTACAACAGCGTCAGACGGTTAGACGGTCAGAATAGTGTCAGACGGTTAAACGGTTAGGGATGCAATAGCGTCAGACAGTTAGATGGGACTGAGAGGAAAGGCAGGGCTGAGTGCGGCTGACGGACGATTTACCGTCAGGTCAGGAAAGCTGAGCAATGAGCATTGATCCACTGTTGAACGTTCAATAATTAAATACCGTACCCCCAATCTATTTCACAAATTTCATGGGAAAGCCGTCTGACCAAACGCAAGAGATATCTTTCAAAGGGCAATTGAATCTTGACATATGGTGCAATAAGAAACGTGTAAGCATGCACTGAACATTCATTTCGTCTGAGCTGGTCGAATAGCGAATTAAACTTTTTATCTCACATAAATAAGTCAATCAAATTGTCACTACTTCGTCGTGCAAAACCAAGGCCGACTAATTGGCGCACATCTCTCCCGTCCTCTTTACTCACCTGTGCGGGGTGTGTCGCCATTCTGCGGATGAATAGAGAACCGTAGCTCCTCACCCGTAACCGTCGCGTTATCTTCCGTCTCAGAGTCGGTGCGACCGCTTTTATGGAGTCGCTGCCTCCGAACCGAGCGGCAGGGGTCCTCAAACCGGAGCTCACGGTCACATGAGCTCTCGGCATGCTTAGCTCGGATGACAGTTGTGCATTGCCAATCGGGATCATCGTAGGTACACCGCGTACACGGTTCTGACGGTCGAGACATCCAAAGTGGTATTGTGTCTAATGCAGCTTTCAGTGCAAGCTTCGATCGACCCGTTATCATCAGTACCTAAGACCCATTTGACTGACCCATCAGTATGACGCGTTTAACCCAGGTCGTAGATGTGGTACAAAAGCGTATAGCTGCCCATCTGTTTACTTTGCCCACATTCGGGACTTGTTGGAGCACGACAAGGCATCCGTGAATCGTGGTAAAGATATAGTCATCAGCCGATGACTATTGACTAATGTACCTATTTTATTTCATCACCAGTCGGTTGAGCGCCAGGGTCAAGATGTTAGGAAAGGTCTCCGATCGAATCTTCGCACAAAACAATTAATTATATACGTTGCCTAATATAATGCAGGATCAAAAATGGCACAGAATGTCTGCGCGAAAAAAAATTCCCAATTAAAAAATCGCCTTTTTCTTTTTTTTTTCGCTACCCGTATTTAGTATTGACTTGCGCGTGAATGTTCTGCATAATTGCTGTTTGGCTACAAAGATTTCGTTTTATTTGACTGTTACTTGACCCACTGGGTAATGGATATACATACCTATAGCACGAAAACATTGCGCGTCAATAGCCCATAAGTCATCGTATACCTACATGTGGGCTGACTGACAAAAGTTGAGGGTGATATCGGTATTTGAAATAAGCATGCACGGTCTCAAAAATGTCGCAGTTTCGCAACGCACTCACTTCTTAGTGCCGAGCAATCGCTCGCAAGAACGGGTGCTCACAATGATTACTCTCGATCAGATTGAGCTAGCGAGTGGCAAAAGCCAGCAATGAACCTAGAAAGCCTTAAGGATCGATTACCATCCAATATGACCACATATGACCAATTTTGTGACCTGAAGGGCTTTGACCTACCTGACCATAGGTCGACGCTCTTATTTAACCTTCCTAAGTAAAAGCATATAATTGGAAATGCAGCCCGTACCGGGCGCTGTCCAAGGACCGCCTTCCGTCCGCATATTTGTCTGCTGGGAGTAAGCAGTTGTGACACGACATCGCTGACCGGAGGGCTGGCCAGTGGTCACGCATTGCGCCTCAGTAGCTGGCCATTACGGGTGATTGAGACTTCGTTCCTGTAATACCGGCTTGGCTGCCTGGCCGGTATGAGGATCCCGGAATGTTGCCATATTAGAGGATAATAGCAGATGATTCAGGTCCAAGTACGCTAATGTTGGACTACATAGTGTTAGTCGGATCAACATTTCGTAGTATTATCCGCATCGCTCGTAATATGCTCCCAGCTTTCCATGGCCCTGGTGTGTTCAAGGTCCCGGGAGGCATGATCAGGTACGTAATAATTAGGGTAGAATGAGGATCAGAGTCTATCTGTGCCAGCACATCCGACAAATGGCCGTAACCTTGCACTTGATGATTTCTCTCCAGTCATCTGGATACCACAATGCGACAGTCATTGCCAATGGAGGATCACGCATTTCTATTGACATTCGTGATGTGGGATTGACAATAGCGGCAATAAAAACCACACAAAGTGCAGTTATATATAGCCGACATGAATCGTGATGAAATACGTTCCGGTTTGTGAACCACTTACGTGATTTTATATTTAGGATTAGCAACTCCGTGACTCATTGCAACTCTCCCGAACAGTATGTATAATCAAAGAATCCTTAGTGAAAATGATGTGTAATTTATTGACGCATATCCACAGGCCGAAAGTGTGACAATGATTCTGTGGTGGCGGTCGCACCCGCTCTGCCGAGGTCGGTCACAGTTCCCAGTTGCCCCAAAGACGGTACACAGTTGAACGAGCGGCCGGACAGTCTATAGCGCGTCCGAGCCGGAACGGAAACACTCAGAGGTCGACAGTCAACACACAGGCACCCACAGAGCGCTCACACACGCCAGACCGGTGGCCCGCGGACCGACCCCAGCGCCGTCCCGAATCCACCGATGAAACCACCGATGTTAGCATCCACTGCCTCCTCCACAAGTCAAACGTTCACGCCGCACTCGGTAGACCAAACATCAAAACGCGTCTGACGATCGTCAATCTGGTAACCGCATGAACGCCCGATCGGTTTAGGTCCGGTTTTCGGGGTGACCTTTTATATCTTGGATTTTCGAAATCCACTGACGATCACCGGGTGTTGTGCTCGGTGGTGCGTTACCCAGCAGATACGCTCTGATGTTCGGCAACGCCAGTGCGGCTCACGTCTCTCCTCCATCGTTGTTCGGTCACTCAGTAGCGACCGGCGCGACCCTCGCGCTCACGAGAGCGGTCGCGACGCTCACGGCTGCGCGACCGGCGGCGGTCGCGCGAGCGGGACCTCCGGTACCGGCCTCCGCCGCCGCCGCCATACCCGCCTCTGCCGGACCCGCGGCCGCCCCGACCAAAGTCGCGGTCCCGAGAGCGCGACCTGCGCCGGCCGCCGCCCACATAGGCCGGGCCGCGCCGACCGTACAGCTCCTTCCGCAGCTCACGCGAGATCGGCTTCAGGTGCATGAAGTTGCAGAAGCCCGAGCGGGTGCACTCGCTGGAAAAGAAAGATGAGTGTAAGGGCGATAAAATACCACTGTCTCGAGCAGATCAAATATTGCTTCCCACGACAACATTAAATGTCAAACATAAACTACGTCACATCCGCATGAGCAGCGGAAAATATAGCCTACCGTGGCATTATAAAGACGGACATTCGTGCTGTAAAATAGATAACAATAATGACACCACTGACTGGATTTTGTTTATCAAATGTTCATACAGGCGTTCTTTGAAGAAAATTCAATCAATGGCATTAGAGTGTTAGCAGACCTGTTTCGACACCTACCCGACTTCGTACTGCCGGCAGCAGGCCTCTCGGAAGTCTGTGACGGGACTGAGCTCGGCGTGGATGGGCCGGCCGCCGAACCAGCGGTTCTTCAGGTCCTCCACCGCCTTCTCGGCGTCTTCCTCTCGGCGGAACTTGATGTACACGTTGCCGACCAGGTGGTCGCCCAGGTTGTCACACACGTTCATCTCCTCGATCTCGCCGTACTGTGAACATGGAGAGAGGCACAGTTAGTTGGGGTAGACGGTGGTGTCGGAAGTAAGGGGATGAGGGGTGACATTTTGCAAATATCTGTTTATTCGTAACCGATCATTTACCGAAAAAAAAACACCCCTTCAACACAGATTATAATAATTCAGTTCATTGCAAGTTTCAGAAAGATAGCATGTTCTTACCGTTATTTGTTAACATAACTATTTGTTCCTTGTAATAGCGAGTACAACCTCCATTTCGTACCGAAATAACCGTCGTTCGTAACAAACTAACTTGATCGGAGGGAGAGAAGCGGGTGCCCCTCCTCCAATCGCCAGCTGGGTTGTTTTCAGCCATCGACACTGTATGAAAAGGTGGCTCAATATTCCCGACTGCAGTCGCTCACAATCACCAAACACCGACGGCAATTTCATCTTTCGAAACGGAAATTTCGAGTCTTTTTCGCGTTTTGAACATGATATCAATGGATTAAAACTAAATTAATTAGTAAGAGTACCACAAATTTAAATTACTTGTGTAAATGATTGATAAGACAGAAAAGAACCATAAAGTCGATCACAGTACATTGTGACCGCAATACTTCATGACGATACTGCGGAGAAACAGGAAAGTAGCCTGGCGACCGAAAGTAATAAATCCGTTCCATACAGTCACACATAAATTCAAACCCTCAAACTTCGACAAAGACCGAAACTGTTTTGTCGGCACTGCGCTATGTGATTCTCATCAGTCTGGTTGAAGAGTCCAGTCCCTATTATCCTCACGTTGGCCGCCCTCCCCCTCCCCCGCCCCACCAGTCATCTGACCTTGGTTTCGCAC